ACAAAACTCCAGACTTGCCATTTTTGGTCGACTAGTCCATTTCCCAAGAGGTGGCCGGCCAGTTGAGAGGCATGAGGTCCCTGAGGTCACATTCACCAGAACGTCCTGGGCACCATCGGGGATGAAGGCTGGATCGGGCGGCCACGGAAGGGGGTGCTGAGCACTGGAATGGCCCTGCTTTGTGGGGACCAAGTGGTCAAGCCATTTACAAGAGAAAGGGCTGGACAGTGTCTTGGCTTCTGAAGGCCCATCCCAGTGAAAAGAAAAAGAACGGGTGACATGGGAAGGTCAGAGTTGCTGCACCTGGGGGTATTTTTTGATGTTTGGTTTTGTTTTCTGTTTGGAACTGAGAGCTCAAACAAGCACAGCCCAGCAGCTGTGGTGGCCCTTTCTCAGCAGGCCTCTTACGTTAACTTTTGTGATGGCTGTGTCCCTTCTTTTATCATCTAAAAACAAGGACATAGATGGAGAGAGACTTGTCTGGATAGCTCAGCTCTCAGAGGTTCCATCAGGATCTTGTGTCCAGAGATTCTGTCCCCTTCTAAGTGACTAGTCCTCTCCAGCAGGGCACCCTCTGGGGACACTGCCCCTTTCTAGGGTGCAGGTGGTACCTCAGCTGCTTCCTGATCTAGCCCTCAGGGAGGAACACACCAGTTTCTTGTCCTGACGAGCTTTTCATTCCACCCCCTTCAGAGCCCTTCCACATGCAGGACAGGTGAGAGCAGCCGGTGCTGCGGGGAGGGTCACAAGATGAGCCCCCGCCTTGCAGGCACCACATGGGCAGTGTGCAGGCGCTGGCTTGTAAACATGGAGGAAGGAGGAGAAAGCAGATCTCCTCACATTTCAACTCTTGAGCCAGTGCTCTGCACAAGTCATTCCACAGCCTGAGGGGCTCCTGCCCTTGGCCGGCCCTTGGCCTGACTCCCCAGCAGCACCTGGCCCTGGGGGGCTGCCAGCCCATGGCTGGCCCTTGAAGGAGCCCTTCTTCTTGCTGCGCAGAGTATGCCAGGGTCATGTCCAGGGCTCAGAAGCTGAGCAGCTGCCCCGCTGGCCCTGTGGTCAAGCCTCAGGGTAGATTTCAGCCTCTTGCAGGTGGCAGGTTAGGACACACCCTTCCCGGGGACCCCTGTGGGAATGCCTGAAGTCATTGAGAACCAGGCATGAGTGGGGCTCAGGGGAGCAGGTGACCTTGAAGAATTGCCTCCGGCACTTCACTTGGGCTCCCTCAGCTGTGAGGGCTCAGCATCTGGTGCCTTTGACCTTTGGGCATCACCTGAACTATCATGGTGCCCACTCGCAGAACTGTGGTTTCTAGAGTAAGTTTAGTGAGTGATGAAGTCCTCTTCAGGGCCCCTCCCAACCCCAATGTTTATTATCAAAAATTTCAGGGGCCTGGGGCTGGCCTGGTGGCGTAGTGGTTAAGTTCGGCCCAGGGTTCGCAGGTTCGGATCCCGGTCACGGACCAATGCACCACTTATCAAGCTGTGCTATGGCAGGTGTCCCACATATAAAGTAGAGGAAGATGGACACGGATGTTAGCCCAGGGCCAGTCTTCCTCAGCAAAAAGAGGAGGATTGGCATGGATGTTAGCTCAGGGTTAATCTTCCTCACCCAAAAAAAAAAAAAAAAAAAAAAAATTTCAGCGGCCAGCCTGGTGGCATAGTGGTTAAGTTTGCATGCCCTGCTTCGGCAGCCCAGGGTTTGCAGGTTCGGATCCTGGGCGTGGACCTACATACCACTCATCAAGCCATGCTGTGGCTGCGTCCCACATAAAAACTAGAGGAAGATGGGCACAGATACTAGCTCAGGGGTGACCTTCCTTACACACACACAAAAAAATTTCAAACATATAGAAAAATTGAATGTATAGACAATAAGTTCCTGTATCATATCTTACCTGCCACCTAGGTTCAACAGTTAATAGCATTTTGTCATATTTGCTTCCTAAGTAGTCGACATTTTTTTGAACCATTTAAAGTTAATTTTAGACTTCATGGGGCCGGCCCAGTCGCTTAGCGGTTAAGTGCGCGCGCTCCGCTGCTGGTGGCCCAGGGTTCGGATCCCAGGTGCGCACCGACGTACTGCTTCTCCGGCCATGCTGAGGCCGCGTCCCACATACAGCAACTAGAAGGATGTGCAACTGTGACATACAACTATCTACTGGGGCTTTGGGGGAAAAAAATAAATAAAAAATAAATAAATAAATAAAATTATAAATTATAGACCTCATGATGCTTCACTTCAAAATATTTCAGCATGCATCTCCTAAGACTTTCTACATAACCACTATACTCTTTCACATCTAAGACAGTTAATAACAATTTCATATCATCATCTGCTGTCCAGCCCATATTATTTATTTATTTATTTTTAAAATTATTTTATTGTGGTCATATTGGCTTATGACATTGTGTAAGTTTCAGGTGTACATGATTATATATCAGTATCTGTATAGATTGCATCGTGCTTACCACCAATAGTCTAGTTTTTATCCGTCACCATACATATGTGCCTTTACCTCTTTCACCTTCTCACCACCCCATTCTCCTCTGGTAACCACTAATCTGTTCTCTTTATCCATATATTTGTTTATCTTCCACATATGAGTCAAATCATATGGTGTTTGTCTTTCTCTGTCTGACTTATTTCTCTTAGCATAGTACCCTCAAGGTCCATCCATGTCATCACAAGTGGCACGATTTTTGTCTTTTTTATGGCTGAGTTGTATTCCTGAGTTGGCTGAGTTATATGTGTATATGTATGTATACCACATCTTTATCCATTCATCTGTTGATGGGCACTTGGGTTGCTTCCATGTCTTAGCTATTGTGACTAATGCTGTGATGAACACAGGGGTGCATAAATATAAATCTCTTTGAATTGTTCACTTCATGTTCTTTGAATTTATTTTTATACTTATTTATTTATTTATTTATTTATTTTTCCCCCAAAGCCCCAGTAGAGAGTTGTATGTCATAGTTGCACATCTTTCTAGTTGCTGTATGTGGGACACGGCCTCAGCATGGCCAGAGAAGTGGTGCGTCGGTGCACACCCAGGATCCAAACCCGGGCCGCCAGCAGCGGAGTGCGCGCACTTAACCGCTAAGCCACGGGGCCGGCCCCACTTCATGTTCTTTGGATAAACACCCAGTAGTGGGATAGCTGGGTCATATGGTATTTCTTTTTTTTTTTTTTTTTTTTTTTTTTTTTTTTTGTGAGGAAGATCAACCCTGAGCCAACATCCATGCCAATCCTTCTCCTTTTTTTTTTTTTTTTTTTTCCTTTTTCTCCCCAAAGCCCCAGTAGATAGTTGTATGTCATAGTTGCACATCCTTCTAGTTGCTGTATGTGGGACGCGGCCTCAGCATGGCCAGACAGTCAGCACGTCAGCGTGCGCCCGGATCTGAACCCGGGCCGCCAACAGCAGAGCGCACGCACTTAACCGCTAAGCCACGGGGCTGGCCGCCATATGGTATTTCTATTTTTAATTTTTTGAGAAATCTCCATACTGTTTTCCATAGTGCCAGCCCATATTTAAGTTTCTACAAAATGTTGTTTTGACTTTTTATTTTTTCCAGTAGGGATTTACACGTTACATTTGGTTGTAGGTCTCCTTGTGTCCTTTAGTCTACTTTGGTTTTTTTAATGACCCTGACTTTTTGAAGAGACCAGGCCAGTTATCTTGTAGAATGTCACCATTCTGTGTTTGTCAGATGTCACGGTGCCCTTGAACTTATGCCCATGTGCCCTGTGAAGTTAGGTCTGGAGGCTGGGTTGGCCTCAGGCCCAGCATTCTAGGCAGGAACACTGAGGGCTTTGTATTTCGCACTCTGGGCCCATCACTGGGGGAAGTGTGACTGAGGGATCTATAGGGTGAAAGGTTGGTTTTCCTTAGCCATCAGTAAGTCCTGGGGGCACAGGGGCTTTGCCTCCATGCCTCACACCTGCTTCTCAGCTCCCTTCACCACGTGGTGTAACAGCCTTGGATGATTGCTGCTTGCATCAGCAGTTCCAAAGTGGTGACTTTCCAGTTCTATCATTATTTCTACTTTTATTGGCTGTCATTCTTCTGTAAAAAGAACTTTTCCTTGACCATTCAGGATGAACTGCACAGTTCCTCCTCAAAAGATGGGGTAAGTGCAGGATCCTTTGCCTTTTATTACCAGCTTTCAACATAAAAAGGCTCCTGTGTTCCCTTTGTCAGAGCCCACCACTTGGCCTTCCTTCCTGCCTCCCTCCTTCCTTTAACTGAAACAAGAGAAGCTGCTCTGTCAGCAACCTGGATTGAACGTAGTTTCCTGATTTAAGAGTCCTTGGCAACTCATGACCCCTGATTTGAACTTTTGGTGTCTTGCAAAGTCTCTTTTTGTCCTACTCACGAGCCTTCATCTACTGGATAGGGGAGGAGAAGTGACCCACCCAGCAAGCACCACTTCTCCTGGAGATCCAGCAGGTTATCAGCCCCACCCAGGTGGTTCTGAAGGGGAACGAGGCCTGGGGCTGCTGAACCCCACATCATCTGTCATTGGCAGCCACTGGCCCAGGTCGGGAGAAGTTGGGCTGGTGGGTCTGTGTGCTTTCTGCAATGGAGAAACAGCAATGTGAGGGAGACGTGAGACTGGCCACGGAGAAGTGAGGCTGGTGTGGGGCTCTCAAAGGGGCGGAAAGGAGAGAAAAAAGAGACCAGAGGCGAGCTGTCCTCTGCAGGGCTCAGGAGCATCCCATGTGAGTAGCCAGGGGACCTGGGGTCCCCATCCTGCCAGCCCTTCCCGGGCCTTGGTTTCCTTGTCTGTGGGGGCGACTGTGACACCTGGCACACAGAATTATTGTGAGGGACAGAAACACTCCCCGCAGTTACTGAGGAGACCGCTGTCCATGGGGGACCATGTGGTTTTCCTGTCTTGCCTGCCTCCCAGGTTAGTATGAGGAGGAGGAGGAAGTGAATGTGCCCTGAGGTCATTCGGCTGCCCTCCTGACGCCACCTGTCTCCCTCCCTGCAGGTGTGAATGACAGAGGTGGTGCCGTCCAGCGCCCTCAGCGAGGTCAGCCTGCGCCTCCTCTGCCACGATGACATAGACACTGTGAAGCATCTGTGCGGCGACTGGTTCCCTATCGAGTAAGTTGAGCATCGCCTGCTGTCCCCAGCTGCAGGTGGGAGGAGTGGGGGGAATGTGCACAGATCCGTGGGTGCTGAAGCTGGAGGACTTGCTGCGAAGGTGAGGATGGCATAGAGGTGCTGTGGGGCCCGGAGTCACCTCACCTGTCAGTGGACCCCAGGTCCTGCTCCCTAACTGCCGTTGGGCTCTTTCCGCATATGCATACAGTCATATGCTGCATAACAATGCTGACTGCATGTATGATGGTAGTCCCATAACGTTAGTACCACGTAGCCTAGGTGTGTAGTAGGCTGTACTCTCTATTTGTATAAGTACACGCTATGATGTTTGAACAACGATGAAATAACCTAACGATGTGTTTCTCAGAAGTTATCCCCATCGTTAAGCAACACCTGACTATATAGCTTTTGTAGTGAGAAAAATAGGCGCAAACTTGTTAAAATTAAAAATAAACTAAATCCTGCCGACCATCATATTTCCGTGAGTCTTAACCTCAGACTGGTTGTTTAAGCCACTACTGGCAGGAAGGGAGGGAAAGGGCGACCCGTACATCTCGGTGGGAGTGTGAATTGTTGCAGCCTTCTGGGGATGTGAGCTAGCCGAGGCTTCATAGGTTAAAAAGTAAACTCTTCAACTCAGCAGTCCCACTGCTGGAAAGTCATCCAGTAAGTATGTAGATAAGACCCTGCTGAGAGTGACCTGGCCGGGGTGGAGCTGCACTGGGCCATAGCCTCTGTGCCTCCTGAGATGCCCGGCCTACCTGCCTCTCCTCGCAGCTTCCTGGGCCTGAGGCTTCAGGTTCCAAAGACGGTGGAGTGAACTGCAGTCCCATCAGGCTGTGTGGTGGCAGCTCCATGTCCCGGCTGCCACGCCAGCCGAGCACTCCTGGGGTCAGAAGATGAGAGTGTGAAGAGGACTGGGGAGGAGCTCGGGTGATGCTCAGGCCCTGTAGAACCTTCCAGTGGGTGGTCAGTGGCCTCTGCAGAGTAGAGCACCTCTCGACTGTGTCACCCAGAGGGTACACCACCCTCCTCCAGCTCTTGGTCTCAAGAAAGGCATCCCAGGCTACCCTGTTACGTCTGTCCCAAGTGAAGAAACAAACTACACACCCATAAAGCCTCACACGCCCCTGCCCTCCTGAGCATGTCTCCGTGGCTGTGGCTGAATCTGCCTTTTCATTCCTGCATCCTGGGGCTTTGCCCTAAGTGTTCTCTTCCCTGCTCCCCTTGGAGGGGTCTTGGGGAGCAGCCCTGGCCACACCCTGCCCTTGAGGGCTTGTCCCTGCCCCTGTCCAGGGAGGTGCCATGATGCAAGTGCCACTCAGCTGTGAACGTGGCGTTCCCCACACCATTCCCCTGTCTTCAAGAAGTCTCACAGAATTTTTGGAAATTACCCAAGTGTCCGTGGGCTACCAGGGGCCATCAATCTTAACTCATCCAGCTGCCCCTCCAGGCACCGCTGTCCTGGAGACACTATCATCGGAGTTTCCCCCCCCATCATCTCTTATGTCTTATAAAATCATTTTTCCCATCAAATTCCCAGTCCCACCTGGGTAGATTACTGCTTGAAGAAGGCCCTTTGGTGGGGCTGAGTGATGGGCAGACTCCTTATCAACCCGGGAGCAGTAGGCAGAGCAGCCTGGAGTCCCCTGTGGCTCCGCTGTCTGAAGCAGGACATTAGTTGGCCTTGACCTCTGGCGGGTTCACTTGAGTTCGTTCTCCCCCTCAGGTACCCAGACTCATGGTATCGTGATATCACCTCCAACAAGAAGTTCTTTTCCCTCGCTGCCACCTACAGGGGCGCCATCGTGGGCATGATAGTAGCTGAAATAAAAAGTAGGACCAAGATACACAAGGAGGTAAGTCTGTGCGGCGATGACTTGGCAGTCACGTCGATGGACAGGCCTGCGAGGGCTGTGTGGAGTCGCGCTGCCTGCTCTGTGGCCCTTTCTCTTAGGAGCCCAGACCGCACATGACTCATACCCAGTTGTTTTCTTTCTGTGTGTACGTGGTACATTCTTACGTACATTAAATAAAGGACCTAACTGCAGGCTTCATAACAACTGTCATTTTGTAGTAGGGAGGAGCGTAAACGATACACTGAGAATCCGCGAAGTTGTAAGGGACTGCGAAAATAGTTGTGATTTTTATCGGCGGCTGTGTCACAGAAACTACTAATACTGCTGTGGCTTGTTGAAGGAAATGCTAAGTTTCAGTTAGAGGTCAGTGAAAATAAAGATATAATTTCTTTTCATCCAATTTCATGGACCCCTCCAAGATCTGTCTAAGAACGCCTGAGGGTCTGTGACCTTGAGTTAGCAAGCCCTGCTCTAAATATGAAATGTGAGGCCACAGCAACAAATGCATTGTTCCATGTGGTTGACTTGGATCAAGATTGTGCCTAATAATTTTGGTTGTCTTAGTGACTGAGTAGTGTTTACCACGAAGGTGTATACTCTAAAGACAGGAAAAACCCACTGACATCTGGAAAATGGTTCTGTCTGTTCAGCTTCAGGTTATTTCTTTAAAAGTGCAACAAGGACGTCTCCCTTTTAAAGACCTGACACATTCAAGTCTACCCCATTTTGCCTGTAATTAGATTCTGGCAAAGTTGGTTTCTTTTAAGAGTAACTTTTTCTATCCCAGCTTCCTCCTGAGCTTTTTCTTCCAATTTTCAATGCCAACATACAGCAAAAAAGAAAGACATGGTCGTGTTTTCAGAAAGTGTCAGCATCCTTTTGATCTTTCCTCTTGCACGGGACAGACTGGCCCACCGCCCCCCTTCCATGACTTGTTCCCAAAACCCCCTCCATGCAGCTCTTCCTGAGTGCCCTCCAGCAACTGTCCGACCCTACACTCGTGGTGACTAGATCTCTATGCTCCTTTGAATGTGTTGGTTTTCCCATGAGGGCAGAGCTGCTCCCTCCCCAGGCTCTCAGGAGAGGAGAGGGAGCCTTGGCATTTGCACCCTGGTACTTGCTCAGGCCTTGCTGAGAGGCTGAGTGAATTCAGCCCTGGGCTAAAGCAGGGCCTGTTAGAAGACACCAGTCGGGAACGAAGTGCCTGCCTCATCTCCCTTACCCTTCCATGGCTTCAAGTAACAAGAGCAATAATGATGCTCTCCCCTGAGACCACTGGGCAAGTTCACCTGTGTTCTGGTTAACTAGGGGAGCAGGGATAGACCAACACCACACCCGGCACGTGGGAGCCACTCAGTGAACAGTGGATGGGACCAGAAAGGCCAAGTTGCCAAGTGTCCTTTTCATGTCCAGCTACACACACAGCAGCTCCTTCTTGTTCTCTATGAGGTAGAAGAACATAAGAACCTCATGGTGGGCAGATTCATGACTCTTCCTGTCCAGAGTTACATCTCTGGAACCAAGAGACATACATGAGGTGGCATGCTGTGGAGTGTCACTCTGCCTGGCATGGGCACCAGAGGGTGGTGGAGGGGCCACCCAAGTCCCTACCCCTTTACTCCAAGACCACCTGGGGGCAGTGTAGGACCCTTTAACTAAACCTTTTCACACTTGGTGTTTGTCTGGCTGTCTTGTCTCTGATGTATCAGCTTAAGTGCCCACACAGCACACTCGTTTCCTTTTTTCTGCCATAACTTCACTCGTGTGGCATCAGTGTCCTTCCTTGTCACCATCCCCAAGAGAAGTGACTGTGTGTGTTCTTACTTTAGCAGTTTTTTGCCAGAAGGGCCCACACCTTCTCGTTTCCATGGGGAGGCGGGGTGACTCTCCATTATCCTCTGTTCTGTCCCCTCCCACTCCCGTGTCCCCCCAGGTGTCGTGGCCAGGAGTGTGGGGGGGTTGGTGCATGAGAAGTGCCCTACAGTGGGGCCAGGTGTCTCAACTGGTAACCTAACTTTATTTCTGACTTTTTCTTTAGGATGGAGATATTCTAGCCTCCAGCTTCTCTGTTGACACACAAGTTGCGTACATTCTAAGTCTGGGAGTAGTGAAGGAATTCAGAAAGCACGGCATAGGTAAGGGGCAGCAGAGGTCAGGGCTTTGACACGTATACGCCAGCCACCTATGTCCTGTCACTTCCCACGTGCCCTTGATTCTAGCTCATAAACATCCCTCAGTCTCTTCCTCCTTTGTCCCTCGGTCTTGGGTCAGACCTTCATCCTTCCTCCTCACCAACAAGTCTCCCGGCCCCACCCTACCCATTGGCCTTCAACACGTGCTCTTTCCATACATTCACCAGGTCTTTCTGCAATGGCCTCATTCCCAAATCTGACAGGATCAGATTAATAACAGTTCTTAAACATCCTCATTAAGGAATGGGCACCTCTTACCATGCCTATCACCACACACACAGCTTATGTCTGGTCACAAGGTGCTCTTGATTTAGAGTAGAAAACACAATTGAAGAAATAGTCCCAGCTGCCATTTATCGGATGCCCATCACGTGTGGGGGACTATGCCACAGGCATGTCTCCAAGTTCCCCTCCCAGTCAGCCACACAGCCAGCGAGTGGCAGTCTTCATTTCTAACCCAGGCCTGTCTATTCCATGTTTTCCTGGGCTCAGGTTTACACTCTTTGTTGTCTGAAAGGTTAGTGAGTCTCCACTGCAGGTCCTGCCCCTGGGAGGGAAGTACCCAGCCCGCTTCCGTGGTCCCGGACAACTGATGGTCTGCAGCTACCAGGCCCCATCTGGTCATGGGTTTTTAGGGACTTTGATAGTGGGTGATTATGGGAGGTAGGTCTTTGATACAGTGGGCAGAGGGATCTGTAGAGATCTCCAAAAAGGTCACTTCCTCGTCTGCTTCATGCTGCCTTCCCCCCTGCCCTGTCCTGTGTGACCATCGCCTCTTCTCGCACAGGTTCCCTTTTACTTGAGAGTTTAAAGGATCACATATCAACCACCGCCCAGGACCACTGCAAAGCCATCTATCTGCATGTCCTCACCACCAACAATACAGCAATAAACTTCTACGAAAACAGAGACTTCAAGCAGCATCACTATCTCCCCTATTACTACTCCATCCGAGGGGTCCTCAAAGATGGCTTCACCTACGTCCTGTATATCAACGGTGGCCACCCTCCCTGGACCATCCTATATCCTTTCCTTTTCGGGGGCAGGGGATTGTGGCTTCCTAGCTGCTGTGGCAGGGCCTGTGCACCAGTTGGAGCAGTGGGCACCTTCAGATGACGTTCACACAGCCAAGCTCACGGGGTGCATTTCCCTGACCAGATGTTGATGTGGGTAGATTGGGCTTGCACGTGTTGAGAAGTGATGGTCTGTTTGTACATATTGGGAGAGCAGGTGCACTCGGTGTTCCCCAGACTTCGGCTGGTATGAGGCGTGAGTTTTACCCTCTTGGCCCACAAACCATCCATCCATTCAACAAATTGAGAGTCTCATGTTCCAGGAGCATGGGAGATACAGCAGTGAAAAAAACAGACAAGAGCCCCTGCCCTCAGGGGGCCTGCGTGCTGGTGGGGGAGAAAACAAACAAGTGAGATGGAAAGACTTGTTGGCTGGTGTTCAATGCTTCGGTTCAACCTTCCTTATTGGAGACCGTGACCCAGAGGTGTGTCCCTTCTCCACTCCCTCCTCTTTAACTGTCTTTGATCCTTGACAGGTAGGAGGGAGGCCAGGAGACTTCCTAATAGTCACAGAGTGTGGCCCAAAAAATACTGTGTGTGAGAGAGAGAGTGTGTGTGTGAGAGAGAGAGGGAAATTAAATGAATGAGTCTAGGATTTATCCACTTCATAGGGAAATAAATGGGAAAGAGAAGGGTGGCTCAAAAGCCTGCAGGCCTCCTAGCTAGTGTGAAGATGGGGCTCTGTGGGTATCCAAGGGGTCAGCACTGTTGACCCCCCTCCTTGTCACAGGGACGGGGCCCTGCCGCTCTGAGCATTGAGAGTGTGGGGGAGAACCAGAAACACTTGCTCTTCTGCCAGACCCCTCCCCACAGTACCCATTCCCTGTCTGTCAGCCTTAGTCTGGGTGTCCATGTGCCTGAGGCCTCACCCAGAAGGTCCTCTTGTACCCACATGCCGCCCTTTATAATTTTGCACAGTGGAGGCCCTTCCAGCTAATGAGGCTTTCCAGCCCTCTCCAGAGGCTTAGCAGGCTCTTGGCCTCCTTGAAAATGGCATGCCATTTGCACATAGTCCTGCAGGTCACTGTGTGGGCCCCTGCTGACAGTGCCACCCAGGGGTAGGTGGGCAGACCAGTTGGAGTCTTCCTTAACAGAGCCCCACGGACTATATCCAGCACCTGGGCTCTGCGCTAGCGAACCTGAGCCCCTGCTCCATCCCACACAGAATCTACCGCCAGGCCCACAGCCTGCTCTGCAGCTTCCTGCCATGGTCCAGCATCTCCACCAAGGGCGGCATTGAGTATAGCCGGACCATGTGATGCCGGCCAGGCAGCCTCCACCAGGCCCACCCCTCTGCACCCTGCAGAGCCCACCTACCTAGCCATTTGACCTCAGCTGTCCTCTGCAGAGGAACTGGTGGCGACCTGCCGGGCCCGTCGGCCTGCCCCAGCTGCAGGCCCGGTGCTACGCGGGCTCGGGAGCAGAGCGTCACGGGGTGCACCTAGTCCCTGACAGGTACGCCAGAGCAGGTGGTGGGGAAAAGGGGAGCAGAACCCAGAGGATGATGGTACCAAGAAATCAAGGGCCTGGCACTTTCAACAACAAAAACAGAAGGCCCTGGACAGGCACCTACTGTGCAGTGATCTTGGAAAGCAGCACCAAGGGCTGAGGTAGTTCTTGACCAACTCTCAGAAACTTCAGGAAGGAAAGCAGAGTCCCTGAGCCGCTGGCCAGAACTTAATTTTTGCACTTCCTGAACAACATTTAAAAAAATAATGCATTCACATGGTTCAGAAACTGAAAAGGTACCAAAAAATCAGGCCCCTCCTACCTCCACCGCTAGCCACTCAGCTTCCTCTTCCGAGGGGCGTCCAGCACTACTCTGTCTCAGGCTGCTTCCAGAGATCCATCATAGACCAGTGGCATCGTCGGCTCAAACTGAAGCTCCTATGGCCTTGCCCTGTGGTGGGTACCCCGTAGATGAAGGCTTTGCTCAGAAATGGCCGCTTCTGAGTGCCATGAGTGCCACAGGGAGCTGGTGTCTCAGACCTCAGAAAACGTCAGAGCTACAAGGGGTCCTGGGGACTCCAGGGTCCACCTCCTTGTGCATGGTGGACATGGCCCAGTGTGGTTTGGTGGCTTGGGCTGAGCTCACCCAGTGGTGCTCCTGGCCACCTGGAGCCAGAACTCCCAGCAGTGCCTTGATTTGCCCAGCTTTGGGCTCCTGGGCAGACAGTGCAGGATAGGGCAGAGCATCTCTGCAGAGGCCTTCACCCCTGCTCCCCTCTTCTCTTTCCCACAGGCTGTTCCAGCCCTCCTTCTCAGTCTGGAAACCTCTGCCTCTGTTCCGTGCCCTGGTCGTGCCTCCATGTGCGCCCACCAGACCCATGAGAATGAGTGTGGTGATGGTCCCTGTGGTCTGTTTCTTCTGCTGCCCCAGGAAGAAGAGGGCAGGAAGGGGCTTCCCTCACCGCCCCCTCACCGCCCTCTTCCCCTCCACCACCTGTTCCTTCTAGCTCTTTCCTCCAAAGCCAGAATGAACTTCGGCTGGGAGGGAGGAACCCAAGTGTTATGGACAGAGTTGACCGTAAAGACACAGGAGCCTCAGAACAATGAGGGGGTGAAATAAAGGGAATGCCAGAGCCTCGTCCAGAACCAGCCCACAGAAGCCAAAGCCAGGGGCGTGGAAAGCAGTCCCCGCCTCTCCATGAAGGGCTGGTGCACAGAGGGCAGAGCAGAGAGGCTTTTCACCCAAGCTCAGACCTGGGGCTTAGCTCCCTGACAAGAGCTGTCAGATAATGGGACAGATCCCCACCCTTCTGTGGGAGGCTGAGTCCTCCAGCAGCCTCCCGCTGTGGGCTGCATACTGTCCTGGACAGCACGGAACTGCTCATCGGATCGGGGATGCTCCATTCAGCTGAACTGCCACAAGGAGCCAGGCTGAGGACAGGGGCTGGCAAAGTTCCCGGAGTCCTCTCCCCCAGCCCCCCAGGTCCCGTGAGCTGCAGCTCCGAGGCCCGGCCAGATGCAGAAAGGAGGAAGCTGAGCATGACTTTGATCAAGTGGGGCCTGGCCTTTGGGGCTGAAGGCAGTCATGTGACTTGTGGTCCCTCAGCCCCTCAGGGCAGAGACAAGAGAGGCTGTCAGTGCCGGGAAATGTGTTTGCGGACATCGCTTGCTTCTGACATCCCCTCCACCCTCATCCCCCAAAGCTGCTTGCTGCCTGCCCAGCCCTCCAGAGTCAAGGGGGTGGTGCAGAGTCATGCCCAGTATTGCTGCTGTGTCACAGAGCCATCACCACAGAGCACCAGCCTGAGAGCAGGAGGAGAAGGGGGAACAGCCCAGGCAGGGGCCTCAGTGACTGGCATCCTTCCCTCCCTCAGAACATCTGGCCCGGGGCTCCTCTGGCCTCAGGGTTCCTGAAATGAAGGCAAGTCCCAGGCAGGAAAAGCATTCCTTCTCCCTCAGCTGCTGACCGGTCCGCCTTTGCACTGATAATGGCTTCGTGCTGAGGCCCAGATCAGTGTTCTCTTTAATCTGAATCATCGGTGATCATGTGATTTTTATTTCTGCCCTGCGGGGTAAGGGAAGAGTCTTCTAGAAGGTTCTGCCTTGGACATTCATAATGCAGCTCAGAGGCCTTGCCCTGCCCCCACCTCCCTACCCCTGTCTCTTAATCACTGCAGTATCCAGCCCAGTGTTGAATGGATTGTAGTGTTTTGTCTCATTACAAACAATTAAACAGACTTCCATTGGTCACATCCTGTCTTTCCAGCCGGCTCGGCTCGCTGCACTTTGGGCCCTGCCCCTGCAGATTCAGCCGTGGCTGAGGGCGGCCCCGGAGCTGCTTGTCTATTGTCAAGTCCCAAGGATGGCTTCCAGGTAAAAGGGCTCGTGAATGGTGGGCCCGAGAGCCCAACCCAGGGCTGGCCCCCTCCAAAGCCGATGTGTGCTGCTCCCCGATGGCTAGGCATCACCCAGATGGCCCTCCCTGGGGATCAGGGCCTGAGGCACCTGCACAGCTGGGTGTTGGGGAGCCTGTGGGGCCAGAGTGGGGGCTGGTGGCACTGCATGGAGCGGGAGGTTGGGGAGCAGCGAACACCCCCCGCAGGGAGCACCGAGGAGCTTGCCTGGTGCTGGTGAGTCACACCTTGGTTATTTAGGCATGTACCTTGGTCTGTTCACCATGTTGATGGGTCAGCTTCAGGATTAAGGGGTGACTCCTTGGGGCCCTTCGTCAGTTGTGTGGCCAAGTATCAACTTGCCTGAGGGGGCGGGGGTTCTGGTTGAGCCTTGCCCTCCCAGCCCATTGAGCTTCTAGGACACAGTCTCCCAAGAGCTGAGACTGACTCCTAGTGGCCCAGTTCCAAGCCTACAGGCCATTCAGGGAATGGGATTGGGGGGCCCCAGGGTGGTCAGTGCACATTTCTGTGAGCATCTGCTTTATATCAACACCCTGTCCCCAGCTCGCCATGACAGTGGCTTGTCTGCTTCTCAGCCTCTTTGGAGTGCTTTTCAAGAAAGCTTTGGGAGGTTTAGGGAGGGACCATTTAGAGGCCAGCTCAGCCAGTTTTGGAGCGGACACGTACAACAGGTGACCTTCGTGGGGGAAAGACCTGGGCTGTGGCTCGTCTGCCCTCCACGCATCAGCTAGGGGCAGCTCAACAGGGGCCGAGGGATCCATATCTGAGATGGCCTGGAGCTCAGCCGAGGCCTCCCCTGGGCTGGATTCGTTTCCCACGAAACGTTTCCCACGTGTGGGGCTCCTTATGTGGGACCTGACTTTCCCCAGCCCCTGTACTGGAAACTACTAGGCCTCCTTCAAGCCCAGAAGTGACACTGTCACTTCCGCCACATTCTGTTGGTAAAGCAAGACCCAGAGCCAGTCCTGAGTCAAGGCGGGGTGACTACACAAGGGCCAGAATACCAGGACGTGGCTTATTGGAGGCTACTGGTGGCCACTGACCACAGCCTGGGGCAGTCTGTGCTCCTCTCTGAGCCTCAGAACTTAATTCAAAAGGGAAGGAATTGGGCCCCTAACTGTCTCCAAGGACAGCATATTGCAGCTTCTGGCATGGCCTCACTTCTGCCCGGTGCCCTCAGCTGGTGCCTAGAGCAGCCTCCTTAGCGTCTGTCTTGAGCAGTGGTCCTTCAGGTCCACCCGGCCTCAGCCTCCGGGGGGAGTGACAGTTGTGGCAGAGGGAGAAGGTGGCTGCCGTTTCTGTCACCCATGTGGCTCATCTGGTGGACCAGCTGGGTGGCTGTGTCCCTCCCACACCTGGCCATTCGCAGCTGGAGTGTTCAAACCCCTGCTTTCTCATCGCTCCTCCTCCTGGGGCTGCTCTCCAGCTGTTGCAACCTCAGGCTCCCACTGCCCAGGGCCACACCCACACTTATAACAACCTGAAAACCATCCAGGGACCAACGTCTCCAGAATCTGCCATCCCAGGGACCTATGAAATGCCTGAGGGTGGAAGCAGGGCATGGGGGCAGGGAAGGGGCCTGAGAGTATTCCCCATGTCTGGGAGGAACCCAGCTGTCCTGGTGTACGGAGTGTCCTTGACACCATTACGTATGGTCTGGAGGAAGCCCATGGGAGAGGCAGCTCAGCCCTAGCCTGACCCGGGCTGCCAGGATTGTGAGGGTCATTGAGGCAAACCCAGGTCTTCCCATCCTGTCCCCACAGGGCTGAGGCCCAGTGATGTAGAGCAGGGGGTCTCAACCAGACTGATTCTGCCCCCCAGAGGACATTGGACACTGAAGATGCTTTTGGTTGTCACAACTGAGAGGAGGGAGCTACCAGCATCTAGTGGGTGGAGGCCAGGGGTGCTGCTAAATATCCTACAACACACAGGACAGCCCCACAACTAAGAATGATCTGGCCCCAAATGTCCACAGTGCCGAGGTTGAGACGCCTCAGCATAGAGAAGCCAAAGCCGGGGTGCCTGGAGTTGACCCGAGCTGGGAGGAGAAGGGTTGTGCCCATTCTGCCGGGAGGGACAGGACAGCCAGGGGTCACCATGGAGCAGTGACCTCGACCAAGCCCTGAGTGAGGGGTGGCGTGGGGTCCAGGCCCACATTTCTGCTCAGGTTGGGAACTTGCTGTCCTCTCTAAACCCGGTCTACCTTCCTCTGTCCTCAGCCACCTTGGCCAGAATGCCATGCCCTGCGTTTAGGCCTGCTGAGACTCTGTCCACCCAGGAAGCCTTCTGGGAGTTTCACCAGGAGGAGGACAGCTCCCTCCTCAACTAAGGGTGGGAGTGCCTCGGATCCACCCTGAGATCTACACCTTGCTCTCAGAACACAGGCGCCAAGAGGCTGTTTCTCTCTGACTGCATTGCCCTGATGACAGACAGACTGAGAGACAGAAGGTGCAGGGCTTGGCTTTTATTGAGATTAGACCTGCGGGCTCTGGCCAAGTCTCGGCTCAACCCGGCCTCCCGGGTACAAGTGACCGACTTGAGTTGGAGCAGGCTACAAGAGCACACCCAGGCTTCTATTTTTTCTGTCCCTCCTGCCAGGCCTCCGCCTCCCTCCCGCCTCGAGTTTTCCCCAGGCTGGCCCAGGCTCTGGTGCTGGGCAGCTGCCAGGGTGTCTCGGTATGGGGGTGCTGCTGTGGGAGCTAAGCCACTCCTCTCTGGACCTGCCTCCCCATCCTCCTGGGCTATCCTTTCCCCTCCTGTCCCGATCTAGGAGAACCAGCCCTGGCACTCAGATCCTATGGCCTCTCCAGAGCCTCAGAGCGGGTTCTCTTGCACAAGGGGCATGTAGACTCCTCTGAGGTCCCCCAGGACCTCTTGGGCCTGAGCCCCAAGACTTTGGGGGGACCAGGCTGGGAGGATGCACCCTTGGCTGGGTCCGTGCTGGAACTGGAAGCTGAGGAAAGGGGGGAGAGAGAAGTCACTCAGAGGAACCCAGGGGAGGCGGCCTGCCCATCCCATGACCCCCAGAACCTGGCAAGGAGGGGAGGAGGTGGTTCTTCTTAAAGAGAACCCATGAGAGAGGGAAGAGGAAGAAGGAAACAGATGGTTCAAGCTGGAAGGATCCTCATCTAACCCAAGCCCCTCATTTTACAAATGGGGAAACTGAGGCTGGGGGAAGGGAGCTATCCAAAGTCCCTCATCAAGTGCAGAGCTGAGACAGGAACCCAGGAGGCTTGGGAGTAGAGAAGGGCCCATCTGAGTCTATCTGAGTCCCCAGTACAACCCTTCCCTGGGTCTTCCCCTCCTGTCCCCAGTTCTGCCTCACCTGGACAGGTGCTCACCTGTATTTCCCAGGCTATCCCTGGACAGTTGAGCTTCCAGAAGGGCTGAGCAGTGGCTATTACCTGGGCCCAGAGTCTGCTGCATGCCCTCGGGCTGTGGGAGGCAGCCCCCAGCCATGAGCCGGCCCAGCCAGTGGCTCTCACACTGGCTGGCGAGCTGCATGTGACCCGGCAGGTAGAGAGCCAGGCCCCGGAGGTGGCGCAGCCGGAAGTTCTTGGGCTTGCTTCCCTGGGCACTGGGGCACTGCTGCTGCTGGGCCCCCAGTCCCCCCTCATAGATGTTGGGTGGCGTGTCGGGGTGGCTGGGGTGTCCTTGGGCCCAACTCACTGCATCTGTGGAGGGGAGAGCAGGACGGTGGTGGCTGCCGGGCCACAGCAGATGTGAGGGGAGAACGCAGTCACAGGCTCATGTGATGGGCTCCATACCTGGCCTGCTGAGCCTCAGCTTACCTGTCTGTCAAATAGGCTCAATCCCCCCCTACCGCCTCCTGTGACCCAACATATTACTCCTCTTTTCTCTCCCAACCAACAGGGAGGTCTGAGAAGCCTGAGCCTTGGCACCAAATTCTCTTTCAAGCCTTTCCTGCCACCTCTTTTTGCCCCCTACCCTAGACAGAGCATTCTGGTGCCAGGATAGAAATTGCACAGTGGGTCCAGGATCACACAGCCCACAGTCACACTGTCTGGACCAGTGGCCATTCCCCTCTCCCAAGCATGCATGTTGCTGAGGCCACCCTGGTGGCTCTGGGCCCAGGTGGGGACAGGAGGCAGCTCTCCTCCTGCCACTACTCCCCACAGCCCGGCACCTTCTCTTATGCGCAGCTCAGAGAACGCACAGACCAAGGCTTCCATGGAGGGCCAGCGTGGTGGAGGAGGAGCTGCTGGGCCTCCTGTGCAGCAGGGCTCTCTCCTCTCCCCTGCCTAGGGGGTGGGTCTGCAGGTATCCCTTGGCAACCAGCTCTATGATGTCAGAGGGAAGGCTCCCAGCCTTCCTGGGACCCCTGAGTTTGGGGAAGGATGATGCCCAGGGCAGTGTCAGGGTGGGAGGAGAGCAAGGGAAGGAGGCAGAACCCTAGGGGAGGTCCCCAGTCCCTCTGGCTTGGGACAGGCCCCAGAGAACAGACGCAGCTCTTGCAGGCTGGAGGGTCACTCCCAGGGGCGACCGCTTGGGGTCTCAGTTTCCTCATCTGTGAGTGGAAAATGAGGGTTTAGGGGTGCAGACTTGGTGAGACCTGGGTCAGTGCTTTGAGCATACTGATAAGGTAGTTATGGGTGACTGGAAAAGTCACTTAACTTTTCTAACTGTCCATTTTCCCTGAAGTAAATGATGGAGTATTGTGTGGACCAAGTGTGAGGAAGGATGTGGAGGAACTGGAGCTCTCAGATACCACTGGTGGGAATGCAAAATGGTACCACCACTTTGGGAAACAGTTTCTTAAAAAGTTTAAACTTTCAATTCTCTCTATTCACAGATGACATGATCTTATATATAGAAAAAATTAATTCACACTCAAAACTATTTGAGCTAATAAAACTATTAGAGCTAGTGAAGTTCAGCAAAGTTGTGAGATAGAAGATCAACACACAAAAATTAATTGTATTTCTATGCAGTAGCAAAGAACAAAAAGAAAAAAACAGTTAGGAATAAATTTAACCAAGGAGGTGCAAGACAACACATTGCCGAATAAAATAAAGACGACTCAAATAAATGGAAAAATATCCCTGTTCAAGGATTGAAGACTTAATAATGTTAAGACAGCAATACTCCCTAAAGTGATCTACAGATCCCTTCAAAATCCCAGTGGCCTTTCATGCAGAAACATAAAAACTGATCCTAAAATTCATGTGGAATTACAAGGGAGCCCAAATAACCAAAAACAATCTCAAAAAAGAAGAAGTTTGAAGACTTAAATTTTCTGATTTCAAAACTTATTTCAATGATACAGTAACCAAAACAATGTGGAACTGTCATAAAGATAGACATCTAGACCAATGGAATAGAATAGAGAGCCCAAAATTAAACCCATATATCTATGGTCGATTGATTTTCAACAAGAGTGCCAAGACTATTCAATGGGGAAAAGTCTCTTCAACAAATGTCTCTTCAACAAATGATGCTGAGACAACTGGATAGCCACATGCAAAAGAATGAAGTTGAATCCCTACCACACACAATATACAAAAATTAACTCAAAATGTATCAAAGACCTAAATGTAAGAGGTAAAACCATATAATTCTTAGGAGAAAATGTAGGGGTAAATCTTTCTGACCTTGGATTTGGCAACTGATTCTTAGATTTGACAACAAAAGCACAAGCAACAAATTAAAAAAATAGGCAAATTGGACTTCATCAAAATTTAAAACTTTTGTGCTGCAAAAGGCACTATCAGGAAGTGAAAAGACAGCCTACAAAATGAGAGAAAATATTTGAAAATCATATATCTGATAAGAGCGTAGTATCCAGAATATATAAAGAACTATCACAACTCAACAACAAAAAGACAAGCAACCCAATTTAAAAATGGGTGAAGAACTGGAATAGACATTTCTCCAAAGAAGATATACAAATAGGCAACAAGCACATGAACATCATGAGTCAATAGGGAAATGCAAATTTTTTTTTAAATATGCGTCTTTTTTTTTTTTTTTTTTTTTTTTGTGAGGAAGATCAGCCCTGAGCTAACATCTGCCAATCCTCCTCTTCTTGCTGAAGACGACTGGCCCTGGGCTAACATCCGTGCCTATCTTCCTCCACTTTATATGGGACGCCGCCACAGCATGGCTTGACAAGCAGTGAGTTGGTCCTCGCCCGGGATCCGAACCCCAGGCCACCGCAGCGGAGCACGTGCACTTAACCGCTACGCCACCGGGCCAGCCCCAGGGAAGTGCAAATTTAAACCACAGTGAGATACTATTTCACACTCACGAGGATGGATATAATAAAAAAAAAAAACAGAAAATGACAAATGTTAACGAGGATGTGGAGAAACTGGAACCCTTCTACACGCTGGTGGGAAAGTAAAATGATGCAGCCACTATGGAAAACAGTTTGGCAGTTCCTCAACAAGTTATGGAATTACCATATGACCCAGCAATTCCACTCCTAGGTATATACCCAAAAGAATTGAAAACATATTCAAACAAATACTTGTACATAAATGTTCATAGCAGCATTATCCATAGTAGCCAAAAAGTAGAAACAATCCAAATGTCCATCAGCCAATGAATGGATAAACACACTATGGTATGTCCATACAAGAAAATATTCTTCAGCCATAAAAAGGAATGAAGTACTGACACATGTTACAACATGGATGAACCTCAGAAACATTATGCTCATTGAATGAAGTCAGACTTAAAAGGCCACATATTATATGATTCCATTTATATAAAATGTCCAGAATAAGTAAATCCATAGACAGAAAGCAGATTAGTGATTGCCAGGGATTGAGAGGAAGGAGAAATGGGGAGTGACTGCTTAATTGGTACGAAGTTTCCTTTAAAATGTTTTGGCACTAAATAGAGGTGATGGTTGAACAACATTGTGAATGTACTTAATGCTACTGAATTGTACACTTAAAAGGGTAAATTTTATCTTATGTATATTTTGCCACAATAGAATAAAAATAACTGAACAGTCCTCCTCATAAGTGTCAAGGTCATCAAAAACAAGAAAAGTTTGAGAAACTGTCATAGTCTAGAGGAACCTAAGGAGACATGACAAGTAAATGGAAGCAGTGTCCTGAATTGAATCCTGGAACAGAAAAAGGATATCAGGTAAAAAGTAAGGAAATCTGAATAGAGTATGCACTTCAGTTAATAATAATGTATCAATATTGGTTCATTAGTTGTGACAAATGTATCATACTAATGTAAGATGTTAACAATAGTGTAAACTGGGGGATAAGGGATAGATGGAAGATACGGGAACTCTCTGTTCTATCTTCAAAACTTCTTTGTAAATCTAAACTATTGTAATACAGTCACGTGTCCCTTAACGACAGGGATATCTTCTGAGAAATGCATAGTTAGGCAATTTCGTCATTGTGCAAACATTATAGAGTGTACTTACACAAACCTAGATGATATACCCTACTACCCACCTAGGCTATATGATACCAATCTTATGGGATTACCGTCATATACACAGTCCGTCGTTGACCAAAACATCGTTATGCCGTGCACGACTGTATTAAAAGTGTATTTAAAAAGAAAAAATGTTAAAATTTACTTGCAGGGGCCGGCCTGGTGGCGCAAGCAGTTAAGTGCACACGCTCCACTGCGGTGGCCTGGGGTTCGCCAGTTCGGATCCTGGGCGCGCACCGATGCACTGCTTGTCGAGCCATGCTGTGGCAGCATCGCATATAAAGTAGAGGAAGATGGGCACGGATGTTAGCTCAGGGCCAATCCTCCTCAGCAAAAAGAGGAGGATTGGTATCAGATGTTAGCTCAGGGCTGATCTTCCTCACGAAAAAAAAATTCACTTGCCTTATGACTCTGACATGCCAATCCTAGGTATTCACCCAAGAGAAAAGAAAGTATATGTCCATACAAGGATTTCTACATGAGTATTCATACCAGCTTTATTTGTACTAGCCAAAAACTGGAAATGTCCATTAACAAGTGATGAATAAATAAACTGTGGTGTGTCCATACAATGGATATAATACTCAACAGTAAAAAGGAATGAATTATTAATACATGCTACAACTTGGATGAATCTCAAAATAATAATGCCAAGTGAAAGAAGCCAGACAAACAGGAGCATATTTTGTATGGTTCCGTTTATATAAAACTCTAGAAATATGCAAATCTACAATGACAGAAAGCAGAACAATGGTTGCCTGGGGTAGGTGGAATGGCAGGAGGGAGATATTACAAAGGGCTGGAGCATAAGAAAATAGGACTGATGCATTTGTTCTCTATCTTGATTGTGGTGATGGTTTCTTGCATGTATACACTTGTCAAAACTTACTAAATTGCACACTTTAAATATGTGTACTTTATCATATGTCAGTAAAGCTGTTAAAAACCAAGGAAGGAGGCTCTGGCTCCCTTCTCAGTGTTCCCTCCGTGCTCTGCCAACTATAGTGCAGTCTGCCCCAAACCGCCCACCACATCTCATTTAATCCTGGAAGCAACCCTATCAGGCATTATTACCTCCATTTTAACATTGAAGAATCTGAGTCGCCAAGAGGTTAAGTAACTTGTCCCAGGTCACACAGCTGACTGCTTTGCTTTAGGGACAGTGCTGGGAACTTGTGCACACCAGTTTGCCCTAATTGAAAGCAAAACTGGTGGACTTCCAGTGGCCTATTGTAAGCACACAAATCAGGAGCCAACAAGCACCTGGCCCAGAGCCAGCCTGGAACTGGGCATCCCAGCCAGCACAGAGCATGGAGGGAGGGCAGGGGACAAGAAACAGACGACAGGGCCTTTCCTCCAAGACCATTCACTTCACTGGAGTAAGCCGATGTACTCTCACTCATTCATTCATTCAGCAAGCCAGTCAGTCAGTCAGGTATTTAACAAATATATTCTGAGAGCCTACGTAGTGCCAAACACTACTGTAGTCTTGGGGAGAGAGTCCAGAGTAGGACAGGACAGGTATCTGCTTTCATGGAGCTTACATGTCCAGATCAGAGACACAGAAGATAAGCAAACGAGATGTTTCCAGATCATGCTAGGAAGAAAATAAAACAGGGTGATGTGACAGGGAGGGGCTGGGAAGGGTCTGCTTTGGTGTAGGTGGTCCAAGAGGACTCTTCACAAAGATCTGAAGTTGGGAGAGCACTCTAGGCAGAGGGAACTGCGTGTGCAAAGACCTGAAGGCAGGAAGAAGATGGGCATGTTTAAGGGAAAGCAGCCCAGGATAGATGGAGGGAAGGGAGTGAGGGGAACAGAAGAGGTGCAGCTAAGGAGTTTGAGTTTTATTCAAACTGCAACGGGAAGCCATTGGATAGGGTTTTTTTTTAAAGGCTTTTTTGCTTTTAGTCATGCTTATTGAGATACAATTTTAGATATGGTAAAATTCACCCTTTTTAGTGCACAGTTCTATGAGTTTTGACAAACACCTGCTGTCATGTAATTGCCACCACAATCAAGATATGGAACAGTTCCATCGCCCCCACACCAAATTCCTTTACACCTAACTCCTCCTGGCAACCACTGATTTTTCTCTTCTTTTCTTTTTCTTTCTTTTTTTTTTTTTTTTTGTGAGAAAGATCAGCCCTGAGCTAACAGCCGTCGCCAATCCGCCTCTTTTTGCTGAGGAAGATTGGCCCTGGGCTAACATCCATGCCCATCCTCCTCTACCTTATATGAGACGCCACCACAGCATGGCCTGACAAGCGGTGCATCGGTGCATGCCTGGGATCCGAACCTGCAAACCCCAGGCCTCTGAAGCAGAGCACGAACACTTAATGCTAAGCCACAGGGCCGGCCCCAGTCTGTCTCTATATTTTCGTCTTACCCAGATTGTCATATAAGTAGAATCATACAGTATGTACCCTTTTGAGTCTGGCTTCTTCCACTTAGCATAAGGCACTGGAGATTCTCATTGTCTTTGTGTATATCAGCAGTTTGTTTCTTTTTTTATTGTAATCCATTGTATGGATGTACCACAATTTGTTTATCCATTCAGAAATTGAGAGACACTTGACTGGTTTCCAGTTTGGGGTGATTATGAATAAAGCTGCTATTAACATTTGTGTACAGGTTTTTGTGTGAAGGTAAGTTTCTGTTTCTCTTGGGCAAATACTTAGGAGTGGGATTTCTGAGCCATATGTTAAGTGTATGTTTATAAGAAACTACCAACTGTTTTATATAGCAGCTGTACTCTTTTACATTCTCACCAAAAATGTATGAAAGTTCAAGTTGCTCCACATCCTTTCCAGCTCTTGGCACTGTCAGGGTTTTTGTTGTTTTAGCCCTTCTAATAACTGCCTAGTGATATCTCATTGTGGTTTACTGTATGTTTCCCTAATGACTAATAATCTTGAGCACCTTTTCATTTGCTTATTTGCCATATATCTTCTTTTGTGACATATCTGTTTAAATTAGTCTACTTTCTAATTGGATTTTCTTATTATCGAGTTTTGAGAGTTCATTATGTTTTCTGGATACAAGTTATCAGTTGTGTTTTGTGACTATTTTCTTCTAAACTGTGGATTATCTTCATTTTCTTAAAAGTGTCTTGAAGAGCAGTTTTAAATTTTGATGAAGTCCAATTTATTAAAAAACATTTTTTTAAGGATCATACTTTTGGGGTATCTAAGAAATCTTGCTTAATCCAGTCACAAAGCTTTTCCCCTAAGTTTTCTTCTAGAAAAGTTATAGTTTTTAGGTTTTACATTTAAGGGTGGTGGGGCATTTATTTGCGTATGGATTTCCAATTGTTCCAAAACCATTTGTTGAAAGACTACTTTTTCTCCACCGAAGTGCTTCGTTACCTTTGTCGTACTGACCACGTATAGATCTATTTCGGGACTCGCTTTAAGGTCCGGGCGTTTACGACGTGTCTGTTACCTCACCAACACCAACGCAGGGGCGGAGGGCGTCCCAGTGGTTGGCAGTCCCTCCTCTTCGCCCACCCTTCACCTCAGCTCAGTTCACCTCCCCAGCCCTTCCTTGTCGCCTGGCCCCCACCGTGGCAGCCCGGGAGGGAGGGCTCCCAGGTGAGCCTGCAACTGACCTGGCCACGAGTTGAAAGCGACGCTCACTACGGAGACACCCCACGCCTCAACCAGGAGTAGGAACACTTCCTCGCCGGAAAAAGTTACGGTTGCCCGGACAACCGCCGGCGCGCGAGGGCACGGGCCGATTTCCGGCCTGTCGTGAAGCCCGAGCCAGCGGCGTGTGCGCGGCTCCCAGCCAGGTCACCTCCCCCCGCCCCACGGACAACTCAGGCCTCTGCTCCGCAGCCTGGGGCCCCGCCCCTTGACGCCGCCGACTCTTCTGACTCGGGCGCGGCCCGTTTACACATGCCGGGGAGAAGCGTGCTGGGCACCGGAACCAGGAGGGAGACTGGCTTCATGACGTTATCGTACATTGTTTCTAGGGGAGTCGGGGAGGAAATGAGTAGCAGTATGTAGAGCGCCTAGCACAGTGTCAGGCACATAGTGGGTGCTCAAAACGTGTCAGCCAGTGCCAAATGTTTGTGTGCAACGTGTGTGAAAGGGGCCCCTATACCGCAGGCCCTGTAGCTCCCCACCAGGACCGGGATCCAACGTTAACTCCCTCAGCATCCCTGGGACGGCCCCCTGTCGTACGCATGCGCACGCAGCTCGGCCGTTTCGCATCTGATCCTTTTTGGTCCAGGCCGCGCGCTGTCCAGGGTTCCGTGCGTTGCCATAGAAACCGTGAGCGCTGAGGGGCTAGCGGCGAAGAGGTGGGGCTACGTGGGACTCGAGCGTTATGTCTTTCCGCGACCTCCGCAGTAAGGCAGCCCTGTCCCCTGTCACCTGCGATCCTCCCGAGACTCGGGGCTCGGGGTCGCCGGGTCCCCTGTCCGCGCTCCCGCCAAGGCTTGCGCTGTGGGAGCCCCCCTCTAGGGCCTCTGTGCCGTAGGGGTGTCCCCGGCCCGCGGCAGCCCCCATGCTGAGCGCCCCGCCGTGCTCATAGCGCTTTCTGTAACGATTGGAAGTTCTGTATCTGCCACCGGCTACATGTGGCTGAGGGACCGAAGTTATCTTTTGTCTAATTTTAATAGTTTTTTTTTTTTTTGGTGGGGGGAAGATTGTCCCTGAGCTAATATCCCTCGCCAATCCTTTTTTTTGATTGGGGAAGATTGGCCCTGAGCTAACATCCCTCGCCAGTCCTTTTTTTTGATGGGGGAAGATTGGTCCTGAGCTAACAGCTGTTCCAGTCTTCCTCTGTTTTGTATGTGGGTCGCCGCCATGCATGGCTTGAGGAGCGGTGTAGGTCTGTGCCCGGATCCAAGCTACGAATCTGGGCCACCTACCGGAGGGCCCCGAACTTAACCACTATGCCGCTGGGCTGGCCCTTGGATATTATAGCCACGTGAGGCTGTCGCTACCATACTGGAAAACAGAGTGTTTTTGAGTTGGGTTTGCTTAGAGCTCAAAGAAACGAACAACAAAACCGAGGAGGAGGTGGTGAATCATGATGATTGCAGCTAGTGTTGTTTGAGTTTTTGCGATCTGCCACGTAGTTGCTGTTCTGTGTGTGTGTCATTTCATTTACTCCTCTGAGCAGCTCAGTGCACCTGTGTTTAGAGATGAGGAAATGGGCGCGGAGAGGTCAAGTAAGTTGGTCCAGGGACACAGGTGGTAAGAGCTGGTGCTGGAGTTTGAATTCGGATTGTCTAACCTCTGAAGGCTATATTCTTTCTAAAGGGGCTGGTGAGAAGGGAACTCGAATGCCTTTGATAGGAGGGTGGGGAAGTGGAAGAATGGGGGTAAGAGAATTAGTTACTACCGTTCTGGGAACACCTGTTGCACACCAGGCGTTTTACATTCAGTGTCTCATCTTAGTCCTCACTTTAACAGTGAAGTAGGTGGTATAATTCCTGGATGAAATGCTTTCAGGCACAGAGAGGTAAAGTAGCTTGCTTTAGGTCACACAGCTAGAACTGGGTGGAACCAAGCATCGAGATGTAGGACTTTGTGAATCAAAAATCTCTTGCCTTTTATATACTATCATTTCCTGAATCTGAAGCAGTTAGCTAACTGGCTCCACCTGCATATGTGTAGCAGGTGATTGCCAAGTTGATGTGATCTAAGGGGCCTCTATAAGGCCAATTTTCTTTTTCCTTTCCTTTTTTTTTTTTTTGGTGAGGAAGATTGGCCCTGAGCTAAGATCTGTGCCAATCGTCCTCTGTTTTTTATATGTGGGATGCCGCCACAGCATGGCTTGATGAGTGGTGTGTAGGTCCACGTCTGGGATCTGAGCCCATGAACCCCCCAGCCACCGAACTGGAGCACATGAACGTAATCACTATGCCACCGGGCTCGCCCCTGTAAGGCCAATTTCCTAACTTAATTGCTGGTGTCTGAAATTTCACCATTAAAGATTACCCCTTTCAGTTATGAATTGCTCTTTTTCTACAAGGTAAGTATACAGGAAGAGGCATCAAGGCATCATATTTTATGATCCAACTATAGCCCTGTAGTGTGAATTATGTCCTCTGGGATTTGAAGGTTCTTAGTGACTTATGTTGTCGAGACAGGTTTCTCCTCTCGTAGTTCAGAGAGGCCAGCACTCTGCTAGGGGACGTTAAATGGAGCTGTGTTGGGAAGAAGGGGATTACTGAACATTTTGACCTTAAATGAATGCCATGCAATCTGTAGTAAGAATCTTTCTCAAATTGTCTCCACTTTGATAATAGTACTGCAGAATTAACAGAACTTGACTACTACTTATCGAGAAGAAGTATTTAGGCAATGCCTGACTGATGGGAAGGTTGCTGCTTTATTTTCCATCACTCTATTCAAATTTCCCCAAAACTGTGACTGAGGCCCTCTGTGCCCTTGCTGTTTCCTCTGCTCATACTTTCTCTTCTATTATCTGCTGAAATCCAACCTAATCTCCAATGCCCTGGTAGCTTATTTGTGAATGTCGTTGGGACATTTTGAATATCCACTTTTGAGAAGAGTGAGGACAGAAATTACATAGTCAGAAGCACACTGAATATACATCTTGGCACATCGTGGGAACTCAAAAAATGTTTGTTGTGTTCGTTTCCAAGACCTGCTTGAAGCTTAGTGACCGCAACCTCCATTATCAACAAATATTAGTATTAGTGTGTCTTAATCTGTTTTGTAATAAATATAAATATTGCTCTATAGTTCAACCATTCTCTTTAAGATTTCTCTAAATACAATGCAAGTAATCTTAAAATTTGTATTATAAGGTCCTGTATGCTCATTAAAAACAAAAAACTTCATGAACACGAACTTCACTCTACCACCATCACCCCCAGAAATAACCACTGTTATCATTTAAAAATATTTTTTCTTGGGCCCGGCCCAGTGGCGCAAGCGGTTAAGTGCACACGCTCTGCTGTGGCTGCCCCGGGTTCGCCGGTTCAGATCCCGGGCATGCACCGACGCACCGCTTGTCAAGCTATGCTGTGGCGGCGTCCCATATAAAGTGGAGGAAGATGGGCACGGATGTTAGCCCAGGGCCAGTCTTCCTCAGCAAAAAAAGAGGAGGATTGGCAGATGTTAGCCCAGGGCTGATCTTCCTCACAAAAAAAAAAAATTTTTTTCTTTATGACATTTTATAAGGCTGAGTATTTCTCATTTTGAGTAGTAAAGAGGAAGATATTCGAGAGAAATGAGATATCAAAGAGATTAAATTCACAGTCAATCCCTAAGCCTTATTTTAACATACAGCTTCCACTTCGTCTCCTCTTGAACTTAAATAAATGTTTTTGAGGAAGAAGATTAGGTGTTTTAACTTTTAGCTCTTTTTTTCTTTCCTTTTAGAGAGTTGATAAATAGTTCATAAAACTGTTGAGAATAGATTGGGAATAAGGGAAAGCAAAGAACGTATCTAAGTTAATAAGTAGTTGCTGTTTGATGGGGAACTGACTGAATTGCATTTTGCATTGGACAGATTTTACAGAGATGATGAGAGCCTTGGGATACCCTCGACATATTTCTATGGAAAATTTCCGCACACCAAATTTTGGACTTGTATCTGAAGTGCTTCTCTGGCTTGTGAAAAGGTTAGAACTGCACTTTATTAAGGTCTAAGAATGAATGCCAGATTTTATTCATTAGCTACCTAGAAACAGGATATGGTTGTGAAGCAGAAGGAAGAGTTCAATAAAATTTGAGTTCGACAGACTCAGTTGAAACCTGTTAGAAATCAGTTGAGTTTAAAGAACACCACATGTGGGAGAAGGGAATACACCGGGCAGTGGTAAAAGGAGAATATTTCTCAGTAGGAAGTGGACACTGGGGCGCTGGTCCAAGTTCCTCTTTATCCCTCACCTTCATCAGGGACTGACAGGGACACCCCTACTCACTCTAATGAGTACACTGGATTAGAAATAATTTAGATTTCATTTTGTGTGAAAAATCTAATATGATTCAGGGTTGGCAAACTTTTTTGTTAAGGAGAAAAGTAAATATTTTAGGCGTTGCAGGTTACCTTAGATCTCTGTTGGGTAGCCTACCTTGTGTTTTGTTTTTTATAACCCTTTAAAAAGGTAAAAAGCCTTCTTAGCTTGCAGGCTGTACAGAATGAAGCCAAGGGCTGCAGTCTGCTGACCCCTGGTGGGTCATCAATAACTCGAAGAAAGTAACGCCAACAACTCTGCTGCTTCTCAAAGCTAACTAATAGGCCCTGGGTCAAGGGCTGTCAGCCAGAGTAATAGTTCTGATTGTTTTAATTCAATTTTGAAGGGTCTGAGAGAGATTTAGTTTTGTAAGCTGTAAGATAGATTTAATTTTGTAAGTTGATTTTTTTTTTTGAGGAAGATTGGTCCTGAGCTAACATCTGTTGCCAATCTTCCTCTTTTTCTTTTTTCTCCCCAAAACCCCAGTACATAGTCGTATATCCTAGTTGTATGTCCTTCTAGTTCTTCTGTGTGGGATGCCGCCTCAGCATGCCTTGATGAGCGGTGAGTAGGTGCGCGCCCAGGATCCGAACCGGCAAACCTCGGGCCGCCGAAGCAGCACATGCAAACCCAACCACTATGCCACCGGCCTGGCCCCCAGATTTGATTTTTGAAATCAGTTAAACCTGTTCTTAGGTGAGGATTTGCTCCATCAGATGTTTGGGTTTTGTGTTGCCTTTGAAGTCTTTCTTAATCTCACTACTTTAGCTGGGGACTCGGAGAGCTTCCTGTTCCAGATCCACTGTCCTCTCAGTTGTCCTCTTTCTCTTTGGTCATCTTTTTCCTTAATTGTGTCTTCTCTCTCTCTGTGATAGGTATGAACCTCAGACTGACATCCCTTCTGATGTTGAGACTGAACAAGACCGAGTTTTCTTCATTAAGGCGATTGCCCAGTTCATGGTTAGTTCATGGTTATTTGATGGAGTTGTAAAATTAAATACATTAGAAAGAGATGAGTCCTAGTTAGGACTGCTTTTAAGTTTCTAAACCCATTCCCTTACTGGGTTTCTGTGGAGCCATTTACCAGCAAAATTTTTTGTTTTTAATTCATCATTTGTTAAGAATTTTATTTATTTTTGAATAGGTAATATATTTTCATGGTTCAAAATTTTTTTTTTTTATAATTTTATTTATTTATTTTTCCCCCAAAGCCCCAGTTGATAGTTGTATGTCATAGTTGTACATCCTTCCAGTTGCTGCATGTGGGACGCGGCCCCAGCATGGCCAGAGGAGCGGTGCCTCTGTGCGCACCTGGGATCCGAACCCAGGCCGCCAGTAGCGGAGTGTGGGCACTTAACCACTAAGCCACGGGGCTGGCCCAAAGATTTTTTTTTTTTTTTTAAATCATGAAACGATACAGAATAAAATAACTTTCTATCCTGTCTGCCATTGGCCCAGTTCCATTACCAGTAATCACTGTTTTTAGTATCTTCTAAAAGTTTTTATGCATATATAAGCAAATAGAAGATATATCCTTTCTCCTTCCTTTTACACAAATGGTGGCATCCTCTACACCACTGTTTAGAATCTTGCTTTCTTCACTTAACAAGTACATTTTAGAGAACTTTCCAAATACATGCAGAGTTTCTTTATTCTCTCTTATACTTGAGTAGTATTGCTTGCATGGATATGCCATAATTTATGTAATTTATATAGGTAGGCATTTAGGTTGTTTTTAACTTTTGCTCTTTGGAAAAATGCTCTAACAAATAACCTATGCATATTATTTTGTTTGTGAGTATATCCCTAGGATAAGTTCTTAGGACTGGAATTGGTAGGTCAAAAGATAATTGGTAATTTTATTGTTGTTTACCAAATTGCTCTTCTTCAAGATTGTATCAATTTACACACCCACTCGCAATCTTTCAGTCACTTGAAAGTTTCACTCTTAATATGATCAGGTTATATCCTAATTGTTGGCAGGGACGTTTTCAAATTACCTGCATGGGATTTGGTTTAGATTTTATATGGAAAGGACCTTAAGTTTTTTTTTTGTCTGAAAATAGGCCACCAAGGCACATATAAAACTCAATACTAAGAAGCTTTATCAAGCAGATGGGTATGCAGTGAAAGAACTATTGAAGATCACCTCCGTCCTTTATAATGCTATGAAGACCAAAGGGATGGAGGGCTCTGAAATAGGAGAGGAAGATATCAGCAAATTCAAGTTTGATCTTGGCTCAAAGGTAAGGACAACGAAAGGCTTGTAGTGAAGGACAGAATATTTATTTCTCAAACTCTAAAACGAAACATGTCAGATACTCACAGCACCACTTCTTTCCTTACTCCTTAACTGAGGGCAGTTTGTCAGTTTTGTGCTCATTAGCATTTGGATAAAAGAGGAAGTCACAATAAATTAATTCAACTATTTCTTGAAAGCCTACTCTCTGCCAGGCACTGTTCAAGTACTGGGGTTATAGGCATGAACAACAAGGACAGAAATCCTCTGTTCCTACCGCTCAGTTGGGGCAGTCAGATTGCAAACCACAAAGCACAAGGAATGGCAGGTCAGATGTGATAAATGTATGGAGAACAGTGAGGCAGGGAAGGGGCTGGGGAATGCTGGGAGAGGTATCTTAAATAGGGAGGTAGGACGGCCTCAAGGACTAGATGAGGTTTTCAGCAGAGATCTGAAGGAGGGAAGGAGCAAACCATGCAGTGGAGGGGGAAAAGTGTCCTCTGATCAAAGCGTGCTTTGTGTGTTTGAGGAAATGCAAGGGGGCCATGTGCCAAGAGCCAGGAGGAGAGGCAGTAACACACCCTTGGTGCCTGGAAAGTCACTGTAGAGACTTTGATTTTTACTCTGAGGTGGAAAATCATTGAGTTTTGAACAGAGAAGTACATGCTTTGAAACTTCGTGTTAAAAGGGTCACTCTGGCTGCTGGGTTGAGATCAGACTGAAGGGGGAGGCAAGAGTTTGGAAGCAGAGAGACCTGTTAGAAAGCAAATGATGATGGTGACTTTGTTTTTTGTTGTTGTTGTTTTTTGTTGAGGAAAATTTGCCCTGAGCTAACATCTGTGCCAATCTTCCTCTGCTTTGTGTGTGGGACACCACCACAGCATGGCTGAGTGGAGTAGATCCACGCCCAGGATCTGAACGAAATGAACCTGGGCCGCCAAAGTGGAGCGTGTAGAACTTTAACCATTTGGCCACAGGGCTAGGCCCTAGATGATGGTGACTGAGCAGAGTGGTTGTGGGAGAGGTAGATGTCAGGAGCTCAGCCAAGCTTGGGGAGAGATAACTGAGCTGCCTGATATCAGAGAACTTGATTAAAGCAACAAGCCAAAAATGAAAGCTGTCTTTAATCGCTTACTGTGATGGTATAAGCAAGAGGCTAAAACCAGAGGAAAACCCTAGGAATGAAAATGCCAGGGCTAAGAATGCAGATATTTATAGGAACATGGCCAGCCAGAGGGCCTGAGTGCAACTGAGGCCTTGACTGGGACTCCCTTCAGAGACTGCAGTGTACTGGTGTGCCCCAAGTCTGGTGGGTGGTGGGGGTGGGGGTCGTGGCAGCTTTCCGCTTGAGGCCTGCCAGGTCAAGCATTTGTAATTGCCTGTGGTCAGGCCTGAAAAATCACACATAGGTTTTTAACCGCAAGCCAGGCTCCTCAGTGGAAGGAAGTGGCGAGAGGTTAGAACATATTATGAATATGATAATACAAGGAAGATCCTAAAGCAGCACTCTCCGGTAGAAGTTTCTGTGATAATGGACATGTTCTGTATCTATGCCATACTGTACAGTAGCCACTAGCCATATATGGTTAGCACAACTGAGGAACTGAGTTTTAAATTTTATTTAATTTTAAATAATTTAACATTGAAAATGGCCACATGTGGCTAGTGGATACTGTATTAGAGGTCATAGCTCTAAAGTTTTTGGTCTGCATACCTACAAGGATGAAGTTGCCATTTACTGAAATGGAGAAGAGTTTGGAAGGAGCAGGTTTGGCAGGAGAGGTTTTAGGAGTTTGGTTTGGGACATGTTTAATTTGCGATGTCCATGTGCTGTCTGAGTGGAGATGTTGAGCCTCAGCTCATAGATGGTATTAAAGCTGCGAGCCTAGGAGGGAGTGTGAAAAGAAAAGAGGTCAGGGGACTAACTCTGGCACACACCAGTGCTGAGAAGTGGGGAAGATGATGAGACTCCTGCAAAGAAAATTGTAAATTTACTGCTAGTAAGGTAGAAGCAGCTAGTGCTAGTGGGAGTGGAATCATGGAGGACTAAGGAAATGGGAAGAAACTCGTCAGCTATGAATGAAGAGGGAGAATTGTTGCTGGTGGTTTGAAAATAAAAGAGAATTAGTTGTTAAGGAGAGAGGAAGAGTGAGCAGAGCAGGAAAATGTTTGGGCTCTTTGGAAAATGTAGCATCTTCATGGAAGAGAGTGTGACACGCATGTCCTAAGAAAGGAGCTTGTGCACAGGGCTAGATGCTAAATCATCATCATCTTCATAGCAATAGCTGCCACCCTTGTGGGAGCCGGTATGGTTGTAGGGACCTCAGGCAGACTAACTCATTTGAGCCTCACAGCAGCCCTGCGAAGTGCAGTCTAAAGGCAGAGAATGAGGGGACAGGGAGAGTTAAACATAGGGCATCAGAATTCTGCAATAGGAAGTGTGTCCTTCAGGGCTCCCCTCCTTGGTCACCCTCCTACTGTCAGGGTCCCCTATTGTGACCTAGTCCAAATAGGAAACACATCAACTTTCACCCTCCTACCTGGTTGCAGATTACATTTGACTTGACATTTGGGTTTTCAGAGACACCCAGGTGTCCTGGAATTGGTCTAATTTGTACATAGATCAGTGTTTCCTAAACTGGTGTCCTGGCAGCTCTCTTCCACAGGATGTCAATATGCATCTTGTGGAAAATGTGTTCTACAGTCAGGTATCTTGATCGGAGGAAGGAATTGATATTAATAGACTGGTTGTTTCTGAATTCCTATTAAAAACCTGTCCCTGAGGTTTCCATTTTTGATATTTTCCTTCAGATTGCAGATTTGAAAGCAGCCAGGCAGCTTGCTTCTGAAATCACCTCCAAAGGAGCATCTCTGTATGACTTGCTGGGCAAGGAGGTAGAGTTGAGGGTAAGCAGCATTCAGATAACTTAATTACTTACTCAGCTAAGCAAATTTTCAAGATTTTCTTTTCCAGTTCTGTTTTTTCCCTGTTATTCTGATTTTATTAAACTGTACCTGATTAAAGAAAGAATGTGTAAGAAAGGCATACACAGTGTTAGCTGCTATTCCTGCTTCTGGTGGGCACTGGTCTGTTTTTAATACCTTTGGCTTCTAGTTCAGGAATGGCAAATATGTGGCATGTTGCTGAAGTTTTCCTCCTTGTGCTCATGGCAGACTTTATTGATCATGATGCTTTTTCCCCTAGTGAACTTCAGCTGCCCAGTGGAATCACTTGGAATCTTTAAGAACTACTGATGCTTGGCTTCCATTCTGATGTCATTGTCATGGAATGTGACTTGGGCATTGGGAGTGGTGATTCTAACATACAGTGAAGTTTGGGAACCAGTGATCTAGGCAGTCACAATCAATCAGTTGAAGTTGATGTTACAATTGAAATTTATTTGCAATCCTTGTTCTGGCCAATGCCGGTCAAGGAGTACACTCTATCCACTGTGTTTAAGGAGCTGTTTAAGAGTGTGGTTCCATGGGCCGGCCCCGTGGCTTAGCGGTTAAGTGCGCGCGCTCTGCTGCTGGCGGCCTGGGTTTGGATCCCGGGCGTGCACCAACACACCACTTCTCCGGCCATGCTGAGGCCACGTCCCACATACAGCAACTAGAAGGATGTGCAGCTATGACATACAACTATCTACTGGGGCTTTGGGGGGAAAAATAAATAAATAAATAAAATTATTTAAAAAAAAAAAAGAGTGTGGTTCCTAAACTCCCATAGAGCTGAATCATCTATGGAGCTTTTAAGTCATCCAGGTTGGTAAGTCAACCCATACCAGTGAATCAGAATGTCTGGGGATGTGAGCCAGACACCCGATTTTTAAAGCTCTCCAAGTGATTCCAGTGTGCAGCAGAGTTTGGGACCCACTGGTTTAAGAAGAATTGGAGTATTGTTTAATTCTTACCTGTAACGATTTATGGCATTTGAAGCATACATGCTTACGTCTAATATTTTTAAATTAAATGCATTCATTGCATTCCTATCAAGTATGTCATCCATGACCACTCTCTTGCCTGTGTTCTGGCATTGCTGTTACAGTGTCATGGTTTTTTTCCTTTCACTTTTCATTTTTGCCCTGGGAGCAGACTAGAAGTGGGGGAGTTGGGTGCCAGGTCACTATCGCTCCTCTTGATGTACTGACCTGGTGGTTGCCACCTGGTGAAGTGTAGCTGGCAGAACAAAACTGCCACTAACATCTAATAGCTAACTGAGATAACTAATGAGGCAACTCCAGGCTTTCCGTGTTTTCTGTTTATAGTGCAGTAGTGCACGTGTTTATGCACGTTCCTAACAGACCCAGAGACAAGAGCTGGTCACTTGCTATTTGCCAGTGGAGCTGTGGCTTCATTGTGAGACTTCACCAGGATTCCACTGGGGACTCTCTTAGCACCGTCCTGTAAATAGTTAATGAAACAATCAGTGGTTGAACTGTTGCCGTGGAAGCTATGAGACCATGAATATACTACTTCTCAAATTCTGTGTACAGTCATGATCTGAGGAAGAGCCCCTGTCCAATATTTGTTTTTCATACCATCAACAAACATTCATTGAGGACCAACACCAACCACAGGCAAGGCACTGTGCTCTGTGTCCTTCAGTAAGTCATAGTCCCTGCCCTCGATAGTTTTCCACCAGCGGGGGAGATAAGGTGTACCATGGAATAAAGGAAACACAAGTCAGAGTTTGATAAAGTGCTCCAGAAACCTCTAACTGCATCCATGTTAAAATCCCATGTCTCAGAAGTTTCCAGTATTGATATGATAGGCACAAATGCCTCCGTTGATTGGTTGATGGTTAATGCTAGGGGCAGGGCCAAGGTGACTCTTCTCATAGGTTGCAGTTGTCAATGATAGGCAACTTAGACTTAGTCACAAGAAAGATTGTAGAGGCTGGCAGGGGGGTTCAGACAGCAAGTTGAGCTGCACTTGGTTTGGGAGTTGCCTGAACAGAATGCATTTAAAGAAGCAAATTTGGGAGAAAAGATGGCAGATGGTAAGTTCAGTTTTGCCCATAGTGTTAGGGGGACATGGGGCCTGTAGCTGAAAAGCAGGGCCGTGAGCGCTGGACAGAAGCCAGGTGGGCAGCACGATTACGGAAGACATTTGGAGGAGGTGATGGCAGAAGTGTTTAGCATCGGAGATCCACGGTGTAATGAAACTTTTGAGAACCAGTCCATAAGCCGTATCTAGATCTGAGTATTGGTTCTGAGAATTCTGCTTTTGAAAATATATGTAATTTCATTTTCATTGTTTCTCATAGGAACTGAGAACAGAAGCAATTGCCAGACCTCTGGAAATAAACGAGACTGAAAAAGTGATGAGAATTGCAATAAAAGATATTTTGGTAAGATTACTTTGCTTTCATTTAATGTTTTTGTGCCTGGGACTGAAAAATATTGATTTCCTGCCTCTACAAGACAGAGCAAGCTAAGCCTAGTAACAAAGAAGAGATATGTTAGTGGGGAAATGAAAAATTGAGAGGACATTCTAGAATGCCTAGGTCACTCACTATTGTTTTTCCCCTCGTTATAAGTATGAACAATTTCTCATATTATTAAAAATTAATTTTAATAATTCTCTTAAATTCTTCAATAATTTTAGTAAATAATGCTCTGTTTTATGGACTTTTTGTACTTTAAGCAATTCCTCACTCGTGGGCGTTTACGTGATTTCCAGGTTTTCTTAATTCTAAGCAGCACTATAATAAATAGAATGATCATCATCCTTTACTACTCACCCACAATCAATTATTATTTGCTCATCTCATCTAAAGCATTTGTTTAGACAGCAGATAGTGAGGGGCAGATAGTCTAGTGCTAGACTCAGACTGCTTGGGTTTGAATCCCACTGTGGGATCTTAGGCAAGTTACTTAACCTCTCTGTGCCTCACTTTCCTCATCTGTAAAATGGGGAGAATGGCAGTGCCCACCATACATGCTCCTTATGAGCATTCATTATGACACTGTGTGTCATACATAGTCTCTGGCACATAGTAGGTATTCAGTTATTACTAGTGATTCATTTTATTCAGTAGACACAGGCAAGGAGGACTTATGTAAATTAGGAATAGGCATAAAACAAGAATTTGCTGGGAGTTATACAAAAGTCTAAGATTGTTAGGTTTTTATAATACCTGTGTCATGAAACAGTAATACTCTCTGGGCAACCCAGCACAGGGAGCCAGAGCCTCAGCAGGACGAGAAGGGCAGGGCAGCTGAGATGGGAGATTGGTTACATACAGGCAAGTTGATCAAATAAGTAGATATATTAAAGATCACGGAAGCCAAGGTTCTCACCGTTGGAGAAGGGAGTTACAAATATGAAAAGGGAGAAAATTAGAATGAACCCTGAAGTTGGAGATGTTGGTTAAATGCATATTTTTCTAGATAGATAGATAAGGAATGAATTTTGATATACATGTATACGTGTAGGACATGTATTTCTGTGTACATAAATATGTTATGTACACACACATACACATGCATACCCAGATACACATTCATACATTTCTTAGCTCTGAGCACACCTAGCACCCAGATCTTGGCTTCTAATGTCATTTTCCACTAAAATGATCCAGGGCTCTTGGGGAGAAATGGCTGATTCCAGAGCTGGGACAGGAAAATACAAGATCTTCTTGTGCCAGAAAGCAAGAAAGTGCTCAAAGAATGAAAGGGATCTGTCAAAATGACACAGAAGCCAACTTGAGTGGGCTTCCCTTGGCCAAACCAAGGGCAGTTTAAGCATCAAAATAAATAAATTACAGTAATGGATTATAGACCATTGAATGAAATGGGAGACCATGAGTTCTCACTGATAGAAAAAATAAATGACTATATTGAAAGCTGATGAAGGGCAGGTTTTTCACAGCGTGTAGCTCCCCCACAGAATACTTATTCATTACAAAGGGGAAAAGGATAACTTCACGTGGGAAGCCTGGCAGACACCCCCTTAATCAAGTGATCAAAGTGAACATCACCAGTAATGGAACAAATCAAAATCATGCATACCTGATAGCATGCAGTCATCTCTGTGCTATTGCTGCTAAAGATGCATACTCTAAAGCTAATCAGCTAAAGGCAAATTGAGGGACATTCTATAAATTACCTGGCCTGTGTTCTTCAACAGTGAGAAGGTCATGAAAGTCCAGGAAAGGCTGAGGAGACATGATGATTGAATGCCAGGGTGACTCCTGTCTGCTGTTAAGGACTCCCGGGAACAAGTGGGGAAACCTGAATGGGTGTGAGGATGAGATGGTAGTAGTGCATCAGTGTCCATTTCCTGCTGTGATGATTGTGTTGTGGTTGTGTAGGAGAAAGTCCTTATTCGTAGAAAATACACACCAAAGTACTTAGAGGTGGTGGGACATCAGGTCAGCAACTCGCACCGAGGTCAGGAAAAAATGCTTTGTATATACTCCAGCTCTTTGTAAGTTTGTGACTGTTTCTAAATTTAAAATTTTTTTTAAATGATAATACTCTTGTACTTGTCAATATTCTGGCTGACTCAAGTTAACACGGCATGAATATGCCTTTAGTACTAAGTATATATTAAAGAAAAGAACAGCCAAATAAGGCACAGTTCATTTTTTGGTGACTCTTTTAAGATATCTTTTCATTGTTGGAAAATATGCATGATATTTGATCATTCTAAAAACAAAACCAAAATAACAACATAGATAAGTGTTATGAAATATAGACCATTTATTTCAGAAAGCTAGGGAAAACTGTTTATCACATTGATTTTTTTTATTTGAGGAACAGATACCTTTTAAAAAATCATTTTTATTTTTGAGGTCAGATAAATTCACTATGTTTCAATCTGACTTTGATTCAGAGAAATTGTTGTCATCAACTTGGGTTGTTTGTTCAGAAAGGAGACACCTTGTCTTCCTGTGAGAGTGAACTCACACCCCTGCTGGGGTTTTTAAAGCACTTGCAGCAAATGGATAGTTAGTGATTATCTTCATGAAAGCATCTTGGAAATGGTTAGTGTACTTAGACAAAAAACAATTAAACCATAAATTCATTGTCATTGAAAGTGGTTGCTTCCAAATATGCACTGTCTCTGAGAGTCGCAGAGAGTGTCTGGGCTCCTTCGATGATTTCTTTGTGGACCCCATAGCGTTTCAGAGACCTGTAGGTAAACAGTCAGTAAGCCTTTGTGGGACACTACACACGTGCGAAGTACTGGAGGGGAGAGCCCCGTCTTGGCTTCAGGAGCTTAAAAGCAGAGTTGGAGAGTCTGAACTTGGAGGGGCAGTTCCACACTCAGCTGGTTGCATTCTAGATGTTATTCCTCACGTGGCAGATTGTGACTGAGCCACAGGCCCCGACCTGGCCGGCTTCCCAGACAACACGAGTGTGAAAACACAGTGTCTAACTACCCCTCCTTCAAACAAACTTGCTCTTACGAGCAGGTGGGGAGGCCTGCGGGTTTCATCAGTGACTTCTCATCCCCCTCGCTTTCTTACTCAGCCCCTCCTTGCCCAAGGGGCTCTGTTTCACTGCTGCCCAGACTCCCTCTCGGCTGGTTCACACCTGGAGCCACTGAGGGAGCGGCTTTCTCACTGACTTCACAAACAGAGTGGTTTCACTGTTAATTTTAGTCTGTAGTCAAGGTTCAGTTGCCAGGGAGAGGGAAGAGAGGAACCTTCTCTCTCAATCCCAGCAGGCAGCGGGTTAGGGCTGGGACCTGCTAATGTTTTTTTTTTTGTCCTCTCCTAAATAAACCCATACTTGTGTGTGCATATATTCTATAAGTCAGATATTTGTGACTAGGGGAGTAGCCTAAATGTGTAGATAAAGGCAGACTAACAATTCAGAGTGACATGTAGCCAGTCTAAACAAGCGTGCTGGACAAGAGGTCTTGGGTCTCTCTCCCCTCTGCTCAGGACACTGTTCTTTCCATCTTCATTTGTTTCCCTGGGCAGAAACACCCTCTTCTTGTGAAAAAAAAAAAAAAGGATAATTTTTTTCTGAGCCTTTGTGACGTTCCCCCTGGAAATAGTGGGTTAAATGAGTGATAGCTTTGGTCTGTTTGCTTAGTTTTCTTTCTGTTTCTTACACTGTTTCTGTGCATGAATTTGCTGTGCCTGAGGCGTTGAGAAATTCCTTTTCCAAGAGTCAAGTTGGAGGTCCTGTTAGAACACTGTCTCATTCATTTCATTTCCTATTAAATGTAGGCACAGGTTCAGAAGACTAAAGACCTGCTCAATAATGTGGCCTCTGATGAAGCTAATTTAGAAGCTAAAATTGAAAAGAGGAAATTAGAACTGGAAAGAAATCAGAAGCGACTCCAGACTCTGCAGAGTGTCAGGTAGATATGAACACCTGAAGAATGAGTAGAAAGCTGTCTGTGAAAGTTAAAATAGACTGAGAGAGTATATTGTCAGTGATATTAACCCTTGAAGCTGTGGAAAAGCCTTGCATAAGGATATCTCTCCTTCAGAATGTGCGTGTGTTGCTTGTTCTAACAAGCACACTCCTAACCTCATTTTCTTTACTGCTTTCAGTATGTCTGGAAAACTGCTTAGTTCTTGAACCTTCCTTCAAACTTTTATAGCTTCTTGCAATGCAAGGCAAAGTAAGTAAATCCAGATCGTGCAAGTTACACAAGGCTTGGTCTCCTAAGAGCTGTGCCGTGCCATAGATTAGGTGGAAAGAGAAACATACTCCCATTTTTTGGTTGGAGTAGATTTTAGACTTTTATAATTCCTCACCAGTAATTCATCTTTCTTCTGACTTCCCCTCACTGAAAATACCTTTTCCAGGGAATAGGGATGGATAATAGTGACACAAAACACCTTCTAGGTCATTAGAGCATTTCGCGTGTGTGCCTCACGTTTTCTTGGAGCTCACTCGCTCTCTCTTCACTCTCTCTCTCTCTGTACCCTCCTGCCCTTGCTCTGTTTCTTTGTTGTTCTTTCTCCTGTGCCACTACTCTGTCTCCCTTTTCATTCTCCCTTTATTTTTCTCTCTTTATTCCTTCCTCTGTCCAGTTACTACATCTGCTCTGAATGTGTCTTGCTTTTTTGAGATACTGGTGCCTGGCCCACACACTAGCTACTGTCCTTATCTGGGGGACGGCATCATCTGGGAATAGTAGTCACCCAGGGAGCATCAAGGCTTCCTCCCAGCCAAAGGCAAGACCTCATCCCTTCCACCTCTGGAATCAAGGCTGCCAGATAGATGTCTCATTAAAAATTCTGCCTTTCAAGCATAAATTCATTTTTTTTAAGCCTCATATCCTTTTAATAGAAATATGTCTGTGTTTTATTCTAGTCCAAAAGATTATAAATTATTTTTTAGTTTATCTGTTTATATTTTTAAAAGAACAGAGTTTTCCCTTTAAGATCAATAATAAGAGAAATGTAAATTCAGCAAACCAGTTGAAACAGCTTTTTATGTTATGGTTTTGTTTTTAAATTTTATATTGTTTAAAAACTTAGCTTTAATTTGTAGCAACCTATGTTTCCCTTTTTAGGGGACTGATTAAATTTTGGAACATCCAGACGGCAGAATGTTAAGCCCAACTAAGATGATCTATATTTAATTTATTGATTTTAGAGATGTGTATGATATATGATTATTTTTTAACTCTTTATTGAAATCTGTGGCATATTGAGTGAGAAAAAAAGACTGCAGAGCTTCATTTAAGGTAATATACTTAATGTTTGTTCAAAAAATGCATTCCTATATGTATCTATGCGTAGAAAAGTCTGAAAGAATATATGTAAATTATTAAGTGCTTATACTTGATAATGGGATTATGAGTACTTTTTACTTTATTCCTCATACTTTCAGGATTATTTAAAGTTTTTACAAAGGGCATTTGAAAAAAAAGTATGTTTATTTTGGTGATAGGTAAGAGAAAAGGGGAAATTAGCTTTAAGTAATTACAAGAGTGAAGAACCTTTTCCAATTAAAGGCTTTCCAAAGAAAACTATGATGGAATCTGAAACTCTGAATATCAGTTTCAAACTACTGTATATTGATTAATCTCTCACTTTTTATTTCATTCGGTTGTTCTAGGCCAGCCTTTATGGATGAATATGAGAAGATTGAGGAAGAACTGCAAAAGCAGTATGACATTTATCTAGAGAAATTTCGAAATCTTGCTTATCTGGAACAACAGCTAGAGGATCATCATAGGATGGAGCAAGAGAGGTTTGAGGTAAGTGCTTAGTGCATTCTTCTGTACAGACTGTTCCTTTGGGTGTGTTATTTTGTGCTTGTTGATATCTCAGTTTGTAAATATCATTGTGAAAAAAGTAGCAGTGAATATTTTTTCTCCCTGATCAGTCTGAGGATTGCTCACGTAATTCTTCTGTTTTGCTGGTAGTGTAGCCTGGACTCCAGGATTGTCAAATTTTTAATTTTAGGTTGTCATCAGGGTTTGGTGAATTAGGACTACAGACAAGGCTGACACGTGACCTGTGCAGTCGCATAAGACTCTGAGCTTAGAAGAACCTGTGCTTGCTTTAACTCTCTGCTGCCATCATCTTGAAATTCTTAATAGTTTTTAAGTGCATTTTATTTTGCACTGAGTCCCACAAATTATGTAACTAGTCTTGAGTACAGATCTAAAAACTTGCTTGGTCAGTTCCCTTAAATATTTCAAGCCCTGGTTAATTGAATCACCCAAACTAGCTTATTGGAGACTGCTTCATAAAGAGAAATTGCAGTTTATTGATTATTGTGGGAAATATATATGATCCAGAACCTTACCAGCTGTTTTACAAGTTCCTCTCATCCCAGGCCATTTAGGAAAGAGTGTTTCAGATCCCAGCTTGAGTTGATAAATATGGAATTCAGAGCAAAGGAAGTTGGACCAAGTTTCTGTCACTTTTGAATTGCCCTTAGCCCTTAGGGGTATTTCTGCTTAACCCAAGAATAGTCATTTGGAATCTATGTTCATGGTGAAATTGGTCTACAATCTCCCTTTGTCACACTGTCCTTGACAGGTTTTGGTATAAAGGTTGTGCTAGCCTTTTTACAAACCTGGGCATTTGAATTAGGTGAAGCTATTCTATTGTCCAGGAGAGCTGGCTGCAAGTCACTAATGCATTCTTATGGACACGTTTGTCTTGATGAGGAACCTGTTGCCACCATTGCTAGATGGCAGAGGCAGGCTGTGGAGGAATGGGGTACGTGACAGGCATGTTTTGAGGGCAATGAAGAGCCTGGAGTTCAGGACATTTTAAACATTGGGTACCTGGGAAGAACAGTAAAGAGCCAGTGACAATAAACTGACCATTTTGTACTGTTGTCTGGGGCCACCCCTGGCTTCAGAGAATGTACCAAAGACCATGCCTTGGGATGCAAGTTCTTCCTTCCTTCAATAAGTACTTCCCTCTTTTTCTCCTATGCTTGTACTTACTCTCTATGCTTCTAATATCTCATGCAGGAAACGCAGTGCTTTCTTTTTAATGTTTAGAACAGCAACAAAATTTTAAAAGCCAATTTCCTCTCCCATTCTCTCTTTTGACAATAATCAGGGCCACACTTTGCAACCTAACTGAAGTGTTTGTTTGTTTGTTTGTTTGTTTTTTAATCCCCTAGGAATTCAGACTATTTCCTTCTTTCTTTTCCCATCCTAATTAGTCCCACCATTTAGTGTCTTTTCCGGCTGATATTGTGCAGGGCAGAAAAACTATAAAATTCATGCTTTATTCTTTAAAGAGCAAGAGGCCTGTACTGTCCCATAGTTGATGCATCTGTTCCTGTGCCAGCATCCCATGTAGGCACGCATGATGGGCATTTCATTGTCATTCAATTTTCATCAGAGGCAGTGAGGTGTAGTGGGAGGAGCATAGGTTTGGGGGCCAGTCAGGCCCATTTCAGGCCAGTTGTGTCACTTCTGGGAGCCTCCTTTCCATAGGGCTGCTAGGGTGATTACGGAGAGAAGGGGTGTCAAGTTTCCCGATTGTAGTAGTTTCTCAGGCAGTGTTGGTTCTCTTCCCCTTCCTTTAGTCTAGATCTTTTCTGGTTCTGTATCACAGACTTAGCAGTACTTATTCAAATGGTGAAGAATAATACAGCAGTCCCCCAAAGGATTGTCTCTTCTGAATCTTGTTTTTCCTGTTCCATAGGAAGCTGAAAATACTCTCCGTCTGATGCAGAACAAGCTAAAGGAAGAAGAAAAGCGACTGCTCAAGAGTGGAAGTAAGTCTGCACTTTTTAAATAGATGTCTTTATTCTGGACTAGCAGTTTTAGCCTTGAACAATTTATATGTGTGTTTTGTTTATTTACAAAAGGAATTTTCTCACAACTTTTATATCAGGTACCATTTTAATTCACTCGAGCTCAAGAGACTGATTTAAATTATATAGCATTTAAAACACATTAGGTTTTCATGCCAAATAAAACAGTGTTTTCTTTTGTTTAAATGATACAGTTAGTTTGAATTATATACAATATATAATTATAGATGAAAATTCAGTCTTGGAGGTCTGTAGGGTTCCTTACTTAGGACAGACTGATGGAAAGTAAGTATCGTAATGCAGTGCAAGTGAATGGGTCACTTGCTTAAGGATGGTCTCCCCCACCACACACACCCATCATATATCTCCCAATAACTGTACAATAATTAACAATGCAGAATTGTTCAGCAAGGCTATCATCTATAGAGAAATGAAGGTTACCTACGTATAAGACCTAGATTCTAGGAAGGAATGTTCTCCATGACTGGTTAGCACACTTCATCCATGAGCTTCACCAAGGTGTCAAGTCAGCCTTGGGAGCAGTAGCAGCACATGATCCTTATGCTGAATTGATGGCTTTATCTCATAGAGTTACTTCTCTTCTTGCTTATTGCTGTCTTTTTTCATGATGATATATTTCATTCTCTCATGCTTGAGGGTAGTATACCTAGGACATCAGGCCTGTGCTCTCTCTTTGTCTTTTCCCTTTGTATCTCTTTCCTTTTGTACTTGTTCTATGCCTCTCTCTCCTGAATCTCAGGAAACTCTGGAAGGAGTATAGGGACTGCTGGAAAATCCCCTAAGGGCAAGCTTAGGGAATTCTAAGGGCCTCTCTAGCCAAAGCAGCCCCTCACCTTTATGGTTCCAGGTCAGCCAGCAGAGCCAGAAGCAGTCCTAAGTGATAAGCCTGCATGGAGTTTATTCCTTCCCAAGAGGCCTGGCACAGGTAAGAGCCCCGGTTGGTTGGCTACATCACGCTCTGCCCCTGGCCCAGCACATTAAGACCTTTCTCACTGATCCTGCTTTATTCTTTTGAACTCAGACTTTAATTTTGTGATCTGTAGGTTTGGGATCTCTTGAAGGACAAGATTCTTATGAGCGTGTGTGATTTAGTGTTTCTGGAACTTGGGGTAGGCAAAGAAGTTAGGAAAATATTTATGAAGGACCGTTCTCAGTTCTATTCATCCTAAGGTTCTTAAGATGCCCTGTCTTTCTTTGCTTTTCTGCATATGTGGGAACATTGCCCCAGAGTATTGGGATCAGGGAGGAGATATATAAAGGAAGACTTTCTGAATTTTTCTCCATCTATGAAAGACTCCTCTGAACAGAACAATCTAATAGTACACAGAAGTGAATCAGGGGCAAGAATTAACAAAATCCAGGAGCTGGAAGAGATCATCTTGTTCAGGCCCTTCTGCAGGCAGCTAACTGAACCCAGCAAAGCATTATTGAGTATCTGTTCTAGGTGCTAAGGATACATCAGTGGACAAAAGACAGGGATCCTTGCCTTAACCCATCTTAGATGCTAGCGACATGCTAGCGTGCTAGAAAACAAACAATAAGCAAGCTGTTTGTGGAAGGTGAAAATGCCATGGAAGAAAACAGAGCAGGTAAGGGGGAGGGGGAGGGTGTGACAGAAATGCAGTTTTAAATAGGGGTCAGGGTAGACCTCATTGAGGAGACGCTATTTAAGCAAAGCCCTAAATCAATAGAGCTGGGGAGAGAGGAGATACCGGATGAGGAGAGTCCCAGAAGGGCTGGGAGCCAGAGCCCACGTAAGGGGATGAGTTTTGCTGAGTGAGGAAATGAATGAACACAATAGGACTGGAGTTCAGGCAGGTTAGATGAGCTGGAAGGTGGGTCATATGCTTGAAGAGCTCACATCTGATGGATACCATCTTCTCTGTTAAGCAGGAGGTAAAGTCATCTCAGATTTGGCTTTGGGGGTTTGGAGTATGGGACTTGAGGAAAAGAAAGTTTGAGTGATTAGAGATGGGAGAATGCCATAGGGACCCCAGAGATTAAAAAGGCAAAGTACTTTGTTCAGATGCTCTGTAATAAAAGTCAAGGGCGGCTCTTCATCTCCCACCATCCTTTTAAATCTCATTGCTGGTGGTAAATTTATAATTGTCTCCTCTGTAGGATTCAGCACTGTAGCATGAGAAACTTAAAGAGTTCTCTGAATTTATAAAATGACCCAGAAATTTCTAGAAAGCACTTGAGTAACCTTGCTGTGATTCCATTTTTATGGTGTAGTGGAGAGCAGATGTTCACGCATTCAGCACGTATTTACTGCCTGACACACGGTGCAGTGATGGATGAGGCACACACGGAGGTCCATGTGTAGAACTGTGCCATCCAGTACCTAGGCACGAGCCACATGTGGCTCTTAAGCACTTGAAATGTGGTTAGTCCAAATTGAGATGTGCTGTTTGTGGAGAATGTACACTAGATTTTGAAGACTTAGTATGAAAGAAAAGTAAAATTACTCTAATAATTTTTTACATTGGTTATTTATTGAAATGACATTTTAGATATATCAGGTTAAATAAAAAATCATTAAAATTAATTCACCTATTTCTTTTTATGTTAGTGTAGTTACTGGAAAATTTAAAATTACATCTGTGGCTGGCATATTTCTATTGGACATTGCTGATCTAAAAGGAGAAACTTACAAAGAAACTGCCTATGGTTTAAGTGGGTATGAAGTGGTATCTCACTGTGGTTTTGGTTTGAATTTCTCCGATAGCTAATGAAGTGGAGCATCTTTTCATGTGCTTATTGGCTATATATCTTCTTTGGAGAGATGTCTATTCAAGTCCTTTGCACATTTTTAAATTGGGTTATTTATCTTTCTATTATTGAGTTGTAAGAGTTCTTTATATATTCTGGATACTAGACCCTTATGTGATTTTTAATTTGCAAATATTTTCTCTCATTCTCTGGGCTGTCTTTTCACTTTCTTGATGATGTCTTTTGCTGTACAAAGTTTTAATGAAGTCCATTTTATCAATTTTTTCTTTCGTTGGTTGTGCTTTTAGTGTCATATCTAAGAAACCATTGCCTAATTCAAGGTTACCAAGATTTATCCCAATTTTTTCTTTTAGGAGTTTTATAATTGTAACTCTTCTTTTTTTTTTTTTTTTTCCGTCCCTATGTGTTTGTTTATTGTTGTTATTATCTACTACTTAATGAAGGAAATCATACGGTATTTGACCTTCTCCCTCTGACTTATTTCACTTTGCATATAATTGTAACTCTTACATTTAGATCTCTGATCTGTTTTGAGTTGATTTCTGTATATGGTGTGAGGTAGGGGGTCCAGCCTCGTTCTTTTGCATGTGGTTATCCAGTTGTCCCAGCACTATTTGTTGGAAATACTCTTCTTTCCCTGCAGAATCCATCCTGGCACGCTTGTCAACTGTACTTAATTTTAATGTGTCACTGACAACTTGGTGATTTCAGTGTCAACACTCATTAACTTTAGTTTACCTGGTCAATCCTCAGTCTGTTGTTTTGAGTTATCAGAAGAAATCGTATTGCACCTGAGTTACTTATATTAATATTGTTTTAAAATTCATGATATCATTTGATTTATATTGCATGACGTAGAGATTTAATGTTGATTTTCCTGGATGAAGTAAAAAGTGAACTAAGCTGAATAATTTCATTTTACAGTCATAATTTAATAATTAGATGCAACTGCCATTTATTACCCTTTTATAGCAGGGGCTAAGCGAAGCCTGTTTGTAGATGAACAGTTACTGTGCTTCCAAACTGACTTATGAGTCAGTGATCAGAACAGCAACTGCAAACTCCTCCACTTCCACCCTTCCAAATCCCATGTTGCTTCCTGGGCACAGAGAGATTAGGGGCTGGGTGGTGAAAGCTTTTTCTCCCCACTGTGGAAATTCTCCTGTAGGTTTCCATTAGGAAATGTTCAATCTGTGTAAGACTCCAGAAGAGTATTTAAGAAATTAATGTAGGGGCCGGCCCAGTGGCATAGGGGTTAAGTTCACATGCTCTGCTTTGGCAGCCTGGGGTTTGCAGGTTCAGGTCCTGGATGTGGACCTACACACTGCTCATCAAGCCATGCTGTGGTGGCATCCCACATACATAACAGAGGAAGATTGGCACAGGTGTTAGCTCAAGGACAATGTTCCTCACCAAAAACAAAAAAGAAATTAATGTAAAAGGCTGTTGCGTTGAGAATGACACTTCTTTATATATCCTTATAATGGAATTTTCTCCAGTAAAGTATCATGAGGACCCATTTTTGTTGCTGGTCACTAGGTGGCGTCTTTCTCAGGCCAGCAAGGCTGTTCCTGCCTGGGCTTCTTCCTGCCTCGTCTTGTTTTAGTGTTTCACTGGCCTTTTCAGTGGGCTCTGCTTCATCTTTGTTATCCTCAGGGAGCTCAAGTTCTGGTAACATAACCTAAGACTGAACAGAGAATGGTTTTTTCCCTCAACTAACCAAGAACTTCCAGCTACCTTGACACCTGGCTATTCGGTTTTTTAGTTTCACATACTGGAATAGTGTTTCTATCTAATATATTCTACCCACTTATTTTCTTGCTTTGGAAAATTGTTTAAAAAAAAAAAAAACCAACCTGTCATTGTCTGCATTAACTCTTCACTAAGTATCTACAGGCAAATCCTGAGAGTCTCGTAAAATCTAATGCATCGAAAGAAAGGCTGAGGGGGCCAGCCCTGTGACCTAGTGGTTAAGTTTGGTGCGCTCCACTTCAGTGGCCCGGGTTCAGTTCCCGTGCGCGGACCTATACCACTTGGCAGGGGCCATGCCATGGTGGCAACCCACATACAAAACAGAGGAAGATTGGCACAGATGTTAGCTGAGGGCGAATCTTCCTCAGCAAAAAAAAAAAGCTAAGAAGTGCAGATGGCTTTTACACAAGAGCCTTACTAGACAGAGGCTGTTTTATTTATTTATTTTTTTAATAATTTTATTGATTTATTTATTTTTCCCCAAAGCCCCAGTGGATAGTTGTATGTCATAGTTGCACATCCTTCTAGTTGCTATATGTGGGGCGTGGCCTCAGCATGGCCGGAGAAGCAGTGCATCGGTGCACGCCCGGGATCTGAACCCGGCCCGCCAGCAGCGGAGCGCGTGCACTTAACCGCTAAGCCACGGGGCCGGCCCAAGAGGCTGTTTTAGAGGTAACGATGGAGCCACCCTTTTGTTTTGCCTGTTTGTGTTCCTGCCAGGTAACGATGACTCGGACATTGACATCCAGGAAGATGATGAATCTGACAGTGAACTGGAAGAGAGACAGCTGTCCAAGCCACGGACAGCCATGGAGGTGCTCATGCAAGGTACCATGGCTTCTGTTGCTTGCCCTCCTCCCTGCGCCCTGTCACAGAACACCACAGCCAGGATTGGGTTGGGGCTGCTTGGTGTTGAGGCCTATAAGCACACTGTGAGTGGCCCTTGCTCCAGGGTTTATCCTGCCCTGTTGTTTATCAGGATTTGGCTTTTAAACTGCTCAGTGGTCATCTTTGCTGCTAATACTCTTACCTGTGGTCCCAAGAATGGGCATTTCTTGGTATTTCTTGGCTTGGTATTTCTCAGAGAGGCCACAGGAACACACTGCCTCTGCCACTGAGCTGCATTCTGTCCTTTTTGGGTCCAGACCACTCTCAGTGCAGTTATATCCCTTATAGTCAGAGAATTATGTACGAAGAAGGGACTTACATGAGCATCTCTGCCTTTTGAAAAATGTTCTAATTTCTGCTTTCTCACTGCAAAAGATTCAAGCAATAAAATGTGGGTGCTCCCCTGGGGTCTTCCTCATGTCCACTCTCCACCCTAGAGAGTTCATGGCCAGTGGCCTGGGAGTGTGTCCTTCTAAATTGCCTTTCCACACATGCACAACACACACACACTCAAACATAGACACAAAGATCACCTGAAACATTTTTTAACTTGAATTGGACCAGACTCTGTGTATGGTTCTGCAACTGGCTATTTTTTTAAATTAAATATATTGAGACTCTTCTCTTGTCAGTAAAATAAAAATCTGCTTCATTCTTTTTGACGGCTGCATAGTGTTCCACAGTATGGCTGTGCCCTTAATTTACTTGGGCATTCCCATATTGGTATTTAAATTATTTCTACTCTTTCTCTTGTATATACATCTTTCTGCATATCTGCAAGTGTTTGTTTAGGTTGCATCATTAAAAGTGGAATTCTTAGGTCAACGGTTATGGAAATTTTAATTTTGATAGATATTACTAAATTGCCCTATATTTGCCTTTAAAAACATTTTTTATCTACCACCTGTTAATTTTTGGAGCACAGTTGCATTTTTATGTACATAATACATTTAAGTGGTAAATCATCTTCATCATTTCATATTAACTTCTGTTGTTAACTGCTTTGTCTTATTCTAGGCTCGGCTGTCTTTATTAATTACATTTCCCTTTTTTCATAGGATAATTAGAGGCTCTGATTTCCTTTTTCTTTCTTTTATTTTTAAACATCTTCATGACATAGAGGTTAGAGGTTGTGACTCCCATTCTACAGATGGGAGCCAAGGCTCTAAGAAGGTATGTGATTGGCTCAGTAGAACGTGGTAAAGGCACTGGGCTCCTAAATTCTACTGCTGACAACTCAGCCTGTAGAAGTAAAATTGCAGGGTCCATTTCCAAAAACTGTAAATAAGTTCTTCAAACAAAACAAGATTTGCGTTTTATCTGACCAAGTTTCTGTAAACAGCTATTGGTGGTCGTCTCCAGGCCTGTCCTGAGTGAGCTCCTCTCTGAGCTGCCCTTGCTGCCTTTCTCCCAAGGCCTGGACTTGGGGTCCTGGTGATCTTTTCTCCCCATGGGGAGCTCTCTGCCTTAACCTAGCAAAGGACGGCTCCTGCATAGTTTTTGCAGAAGTCACATCTAGACAACATTGACTTCCAGAGGAGTGGATGATTGCTTAGATAATGATGGTGTTTTGAAAGATGAACTAATTGCGATACTTAACTTTTTCTTTCTGAAGCTCAGACAGAGATCCAAGTACAAGTAATGCTGGTCCATAAAGGGAGAATATATTTCTTTTTTCAACAGATAGTATATACCTGTTCCACTGCATATAAACTAATAGTGGGATTCAGTGATTTTTCCTATAACGTTTACAGGATGCAAATTTATTTTTCTGATTTATGATTTGTGCTTATATTTTATTCCCCTTTTCCTTTTTTAAAAGTGGAAATGCAGAAAATCCATTACCATTTGTTGATAGTTCTCATTAGTTAGATGCTACTTAAACAAATTTTTTAGTGTGATTCTTCTTTTTCCTAATTTTCTTTTTCTTTTCTTTTTTTTTGGTAAGATCAGCCCTGAGCTAACATCCGATGCCCATCTTTCTCTTTTTTTGCTGAGGAAGATTGGCTCTGAGCTAACGTCCGTGCCCGTCTTCCTCTACTTTCTATGGGACGCCACCACAGCAGGGCTTGACAAATGGTGTGTTAGTGCGCGCCTGGGATCCGAACCCACGAACCCCAGGCCACCAAAGTGGAGCGCGCACACTTAACCTGTTGTGCCACCGGGCCAGCCCCTTTCCCAATGTTCTAAAAGAAAGCAAATCTCGAATGCCATTTCTTGCCTTACTTTACAAGGTTTTCATAATTTCTTCCTGCTTTTGTTCTCCCCAGGAAGACCCAGCAAACGCATCGTGGGCACAATGCAAGGTGGAGACTCTGATGACAACGTGAGTCCTGGCCAGCCCCCTTTAGCAGTTCTTTCGGGTTTTGGAAAGAACTCGTAGACTAGCTTAGCTGAGGAGCTAGCACATCTGACCACCTTAGCGTGCGCTGCTGCTTCTCGACCCGGCCCATTGTGGGATTTGTGGCAGTTGGGCCTTCCGAGGAGCTGGACTCTCTTCCTTGCTTGTTGACAGCTCATTTCTTTTCAAATGAACGTGCTTGCCCTGCTTTTTGTTTTCTTTCTCACTATTCTTTCCATTCTCGCTTTCCAAAGATGGAAGCAGCACCAGCTTTCTTAGGTAAATGCAAGACTTCCAGCTCCAAGAAGCAGGTTGGTTTTCTTATTTACCTCATCCATTTGTGTGTGTGTGTGTCAGCCCACTCAGGGCCAGCACCGAGCCTTCCCCACGAGTGATGCCTCTGTGTCCTGGACAAGAAGCCACTCAAAATGGGTCCCACAGTCAATGGTGAAATTACCCAAAGGTCCCCATGCTAAGGAGGAGAGGCGAGCGCTGAGCCAAGAGACAAGAAAGATCCTGGTTGGAGGAGTCATCAGGCCCTTGAACCAAAACCTAGAAAGAAAGGGATGCTGCTGATGGCCAGGGGTCAAGACTAGCCCTCTCCTCAGCTCCATTCTGGGGAGGGAACATGAAAAGGAGGCTCTCCTGAGACCAGGGCCTCAGAGAAGCTGGGCAAGAGGCTGCGACATCAGGCTGCTGGGGCTTGAGCATTACTGAGTGGATAACTGACTGGGAAATGAATCAGAATGAGGAACCCAGGGGTCCTGGCCAGGGTCCAGCTGTTGGGGCTGCACTGTCCATCACTGTGGGTCTTCCTTCTTTGTTGTAGTCCCTGTGAGGCCCAGGAGGCAAAGGGTGACTAGACTGACACGGATCATAGGCCTTCCCATCAGGTTGAATGCCACTGTGTCTAGAGTGTGGCACTAGTGGCTGCACAGAGACAGAAGCATGGGCCTTATGTTCTTGTACAAAAGATCCATTTATTTAATACCAACAGTGTATACTGTTATAGAAATTCACAGGAGGGAGAGGTCACTCAGGTTTGCTGGGTAACGCAGAGAAGATAGAGCCTTGAATTCATAGAAAATGGTCTTTAGAGAAGCAGAGAAACCACCTCAAAAAAATTTTAACAAAGTAGGGGACGGATGGTTAAACAGCTTCTATCCATCCGACTTACCCATCCAAGACAGAAATAGAAGTCTGGCCTGGGAGCTGGTGATGCCTGGAGAGCACTGGCTGACCTCTTTTCTTTGCTGGATCATTGTTTAGCTTTATACTTTTAAGAATGAATGCGTTAGTTGTAGCTTAGATCTCCTCTGTGCCTGTTGTTGTCACTTGTTTATTTCAAGGAGGCTGTTTACACCCATACCCCTTGGTCTAGGGGTTTATCCTTTGTGTGTTGACTCAGTCACTTGAGAGATATTTATTGAGTGCCTGTTATGTGTCAGGTGCTGTTATGGATTCTGAGGAATACAGCAGTGAATAGAAATAAGGCCCATGCCTTCATGAAGCTTACATTCCAACAGTAATCAGGCAGATAAATCAGGGGTCATAGTGGTAGGAAGGAAAATAAAGCAGGTTCAGGGGACAGAGTGACAAGGATAAAAGGGGGAGATGTCTTTTTTTTTTTTGTAATTTCATTTATTTATTTTTTCCCCCAAAGCCCCAGTAGATAGTTGTATGTCATAGCTGCACATCCTTCTAGTTGCTGTATGTGGGACGCGGCCTCAGCATGGCCGGAGAAGCAGTGCGTCGGTGCGCGCCCGGGATCTGAACCCGGGCCGCCAGCAGCGGAGCGCGCGTACCTAACCACTAAGCCACGGGGCCAGCCTGGGAGATGTCTTTTGATTTGTCAGAGAAGGTCTCTCTGATAAGGTGACATTTGGGCAGAGGTCTGAATGGAAGGAGGGACGTGGTGCTGGGGAGGGGCATCCAAGTCCCAGGGGGTGTGGTTCCTATATTCAAGGACCAGAGGTAATGGTGTGACTGGGATAGAGTGAACTGGGGGCAGAAGTGGTAGGAAAGGCAGCAGGGGCCATGCAGAGCTTTGCAGGATGTGACGAGGACTCGGCATTTTCTCTGAGTACAATGGGAAGGCGCCGGAGAATCGTGAGCCCAGGAGTGCCAAGAGCTGACTCGCATCTGAGAGAACCCAGTTAGGAGGCATTTGCAATAGTCTAGTTCAGAGGTGTTAGTGGCCTAGCCTAAGGTGGTAGCAGCGGAGGCGTTGAGAAGTGGTCAGATTCTGGATATGTTTCTAATGTGAGAACCATTGGGTTTTGTCACTTGGACATGAGGTGTTAAAGAGAAATGAAGGGTGCCTTGGTTGTGGCATACTCAGGTGAAAGCACAGAGTTTTCATTTCCTGGGATGAGGCAGACCCCGGGAAGGGGTTTGGAGAGCAGATCAAGAGTTTGGTTTTGGACCTTCTAAGTGTGAGCTGCCTACTAGACATCCACATGCCAGTGTTGAGTAGCCAGTTGAAATTCAAGTCTGGAGTTCAAGGGTCAGGTCTGGGCTGGAGATTGAATTTGGGGAGCCATCCATATTTAGGTGGTCTTTAAGTACGAGGATACATGTGTTGCTTGGGGAGACAGAGTAAAAAGAGAAGAGAGGAGGCCCAAGGACCCGAGCCAACCCCACACTGCAGGGAGATGAAGAGGGTTGGCAAATGAGACTGAGAAGACACCGGAGTGAGGTAGGGCGAGCACCCAGAGAGAAGGGTGCCCTGGAGGACAGAAGAGTGGATTCCGAGGAAGAAGGAGCAATTCTGTCAGATGCAGCCCATAGGTCAAACGAGAGGACTGAGCATTACCCATTGCCTTTGAATCCATTGGATGTTTCAGTCTTGACAAGAGCAATTTGGGGGGATTGGGGAGGTGAGAGCCAGACTAGGGTGTGCCTGAGAGACAGTGAGAGGGGAACAGGTATGGACAGGGAGCTCAAAACTTGTTTTTTTTTGCAGTGAGGGAACTGGGGAAATAGGGCCGAGTAGCTGAAGAGGAAGGTAGGATTAAGTCTTGGGATTTTTTGTTTGTTTTTTTAAGAAGAAAATAGCAGCATGTATCTATGCTGGTGGTAAGGATCTAGAGAGAGTGACCAACCATCCTGGTTTACCTGGAATGCAGGACTTGCAGTTCTTTTACCTGCCTGTGTTGGTAACGCTAGATCTAGATGATGAAGGAGAGAGTGTTTCTTTTAATTTGCTCCTTGTACCCATTTCCTGTGTGGCTTTCCATCCCCAATCTGACCAAAGCCAAAATAAGCCCCCCTTCCCTCTCTCCAAGTCCCCACCCTCCGTGCTATCCACTAGTGGGCCTCTGAGCCTGCACGAGCAAGGCAGCATCCAGTGAGCCTCGCTCGGTGCAGACGTCAGTGGGAAAACCAACCCCTGCAGTGTCAACCTTGGATTGCATATTGGTATTTGAAGGTTACTGGTTAGATGATACATTTATGTATGTATTTCAGCCAGCAATATCTAGACATTGGTCCCATTCTTCTGACCCTACAACCTGACTCCTTGCTTCTCTGCCATGCTCTTCCTTCACATGGGGATGTTGCTAGTTATTATTAGTGCTATCGAGTCAATTCTGACTCCTAGGGACCTTTGTGTACAGGAGAGCTGAACCCTGCCAGCTCTGTCTTTTTGCACCATTGTCTCACCTTCTGGTGCTGTATCAGACAGTGCTCTGCTGCTGTTCACAAGGTTTTCATGGTCAAGTTTTTTGGAAGTGGGTGGCTAGATCCTTCTTCCTAGTCTGTCTTAGTCTGGAAGCTCCACTGAAACCTGTCCACTGTGGGTGGCTCTGCTGGTATATGAAATACTGGTGGCATAGCTTTCAGCATCACAGCAACACACAGCCACCCCAGTGTGACAACTGAGAGATGGGTGTTGTGGTTCCCTGACTGGGAAATGAATCCGGGCTGCAGTGGTGAGAGCACCAAATGTTAACCACTAGACCACCAGGCCTGGCTTGCTAGTTATTTGAGCTACTAGTAAAAGGTGAAGTAGGGTCTTTGCTGACAAGACATCAGTAATGAGATGGGACCCTTAGTTGTATTTACTGTCTTTTTCCTATAGGAAGACTCAGAGGACAGTGAAATTGACATGGAAGATGATGAAGACGATGATGATGATTTGGAAGATGAGAGCATCGCTCTCTCACCAGCTAAGCCCAGTCGAAGGGTTCGGAAACCTGAGCCCCTGGATGAGAGTGACAATGACTTCTGAAGTTCTTGCTAAGGGACCCACCCAGGCAGATTAAAATGCTCAGATTTGTAGGTAACTGGGAAATTAGAAGGTTAGAAAGGGAACATATATTCTGTTCACTAAGCCAGCTGGACTCATTATCAATGAAGCAATACCTATTTCTGCTTTAGCCTCCTATGTGTTACTCCACAAAGCTTAAACAAGAACTGAAGCAAATCCCAAAGGTGATTTTTTTTTTTGCCTTATTTATCTCCTAAAACTTGAGAAATGCATGTTAGTGATTCACATCCACAGGATAAAAACTCAAGGAGAAGTGAGGGCCAGCATGGTCTTGGCTATTGTTGTTGTCACACATTTCCTCTGAGAGTCAGTAGGACAGACCTGGGGCTGGGACTGGGCACATGGACTCATTTTAGGAATCATAGGGGGGTGTCTGACTATTAATCACTTATACAGTTTAGAACATCTACTGTATATCAGCTTTTAATGCTAGCCTTTATTTCATTTTATAGTCTTATTTTCCTTCTGCATGCTCACAATACCAAGCTTTAAATGTATTTTACTAAAATTTTATGAATAAAAGTTAGCTAAGTTAGATGAAACTTTCCTTGAATCTCAGGCAACAGAGAGAGGCTCCAGATTATAAATATTCCATTTTCTCAAAGAAGGCTGACATTCCTCCTTAGGAAAGCAAATTAAGGAAAAAGTGTTAATACGTATTTGTATTTCTGACTTAAAAAAAAAAAACAGAATTGAATTAGGTGGAGTAGCACTAGAAGAGTTTCCCCGTTGTGAAATGAAAAGTGACAGATGGAGTTGTTTTGTTTTGTTTTTTTAATATGGAAAGCACAGAGCAGTTTTCATTTATTTTTCATTATATAGTCAGAAGACTTCTGAAGTTACTTATCCCTTAATAAATGTATTTAATACCATATTTTTATATTATTAAATAAGTTTTACTTGTAAGTATAATTATTTTGTTTATTTGCACCTGTAACATATAAATACTTATTCAAGAAAAGTTCACAAGTTAATGTGGTACATGAAAATTTTAGGAGACTATGTGACAATTATTTCTATCATCTTTGCTTTTTTCTCTATCTTTTCCTAAATTTGATGTATGAGATTACTCCTTTTTTAAACATTCAGCATTCAGTTAATTCACCAGTAATCTGAGATGTGCCATCTTTGAAACAATAAGCTAAAAAGGAAATAGGTGTGTCAGGAGCCGTGCTAACCACCTCAGGTGCCATGGCTTCTCAGGTTTAAAAAAAGGAGTGACTGCATCTTCTTGGATGTTTTAGCTTTGGTTTACCTGAGTCTGAGCCGACTTATATTTTAAAAAAGCAAAAGATGTATTTCTGTTTTCCTTATGTGATGCTTTCTTCTGATGGGCATTAACATGGGAGTCCAGCCCAAGCTACAGATAACACATCCACAGATAGAGGCAACAGCTGCAGTGGGCAATTCATTGTTTCACTTGCTTCTTGGTCATCCTTTATCCCTTGGTTAACTGACTTTGTGCAGAGTCTCACTATGGTATGCCACTTCTTTACTTGAGCAGTTTCTGTTAACAGAGAGGCTTCAAGTACTTGATCATAGTTATTGATGTATTTCTGTCACTGTAATGGATCCAGGAGTCAAATATGTGCAAGTGCCTTATGACCTGGTGTTATTTGGTTTTGCCAAGCAGCAGAGCAGACTCAGGCCCCAAAGAAGATTATGTGATCCGGTCAATGAAAAACTAGCATTTAGATCACTGCCGACAGTTTTTTTTCCTGTGTGATTAAAGGACCTCTTAAAATGCTTTAAAATGTGTGTATTGACAGAAAATATAAAGATATTTTTTAAGTCCTCAGTTTTTCTTGGTGGCAGCCATCAAGAACAAAGTCCAAAGAACTGTTTCCCTTTTAGCTGGGACAGGAAGAAGAAATGCAAGATCTCTTTCATTAGCATTTTAAATGATAATATCAGGGTCAAACATCTGAAAGGAGGACATATCCCCTCAGGTTAGCAGCACATTCCATAAATATCACAGCTCTTAGATTGGCCCAGAGGACTCTTGGGTGCTAGAGTCCAGCACTGGCTGAACTGGAAGAGAACTAAAAAGTTCTACCTCTTACCCAGAACAGAAGGCCTCTCAGCAAGGATGTGACTGGATCAGGAAGGCAAAGGGCTCAAGAAGGGATGTCACTAGGGAAAAATGGAACTGATGGAATAACCAATGTGTCTATAAGAAATAGTATTCAGATTTTACACTTCTGTTGGACAGTTTGGAAAGAATTAAGCAGTAGTGACATAGAAAATTAAGTAAATTTTTTAAATGATGCAACTGTTAATTCTAGAAAGAACAATAAATTATATAGGAAGAAAATGACTCAGCAGTGATCGATACTAATAAAGCCATAAGATAAACACTAAATAATGATTTAACCAAAAATCTGCTGTAACTATGTTGGAAGGATGAAGAAACCAAATGTGGGCACATGAGGTGATGTACATACAAGTGCCATTTCCCATAATAGAAAGCCAATAGATAATCTCTAAAATGATAAAGCAAGAAATAGTGTATGTAGGATATTTAGTTTGGGGAATAGGGGTATTCGGGAAGGGGAGGAACAGGACAGGAAACTGCTGTTTTCCATTTTAAGCCTAGTAATACTCTTTGGCTTTTTAAACTATGTCTATTACTATGTATGTTGCTTTGATGAAAATGAATTTTTAAAAAGATAAATAGACAGGAAAGGGGTAAGGGCTGGAGATTCAGGTTTGAGAATCATTTACATAGAAGATTCCTCAGGGGAGAGCATGTGGCATGAGAAGAGAGCTAAGGGTAGAAGCCTGAGAAACACCTGTGTCTAAAGGGAAGCGTCCATGAGGAACCTGAAAAAAAGACCGGGAAAGTATTTTCTAAAGTGACTATATTTTACTTTAATAATTAGGAAAAAATGTTTAATTTTTCAAAGAGTGTTGAAGAAGAGTGGTAACAAGAAGGTAGGATTGGAAGGTCCTGATGTTATCGAAGCCAAGGCAGGGGAGAATTTCCAAAGAAGGGAGGGGTGAACAAGTGCTAGATCCTTGTTGTAAATGAGCTTGAATCAGAGAGACCATTGAACTTGGCATTTAGGAAATTTCTGGTGACCTTAGCCAGGAGAAGTCAGATAGCAAGTGACAGGTTAAAGAGAGGTTGGAATTTGGAGCCAACACAGTGAGTATTGATGACTATTCAGAAAGGTGGACGATCACAAGTGAAAAGAAAGGGCAGAGCAGAGGGAGAAAAGTAGGGTCAAAGAACATTTTGGAGGAGCAGAGGGCTATTTTTTGTGTGTGTGGGAGGGGTTTGAGAGGAAAATTTGAGCGTGATCTTTTAGCTGAAGGAACTAGCTCGTGGAATGGGAGGGGTTGAATCTATGAGAGAGAGAGAGAGAGAATGTAATTGATGAAGCAAAATCTGCATTAGGAGCCATTCTGCTTAAATTTGTACTATATATGGAAAAAAGATACACACCAGATAACCAGTTGGATTGATGGAGTCAGAAGGCTAAGGTTGATTTCATCATCTTTTACACCTGGATTTCTATAGTGTCTATTGTAGATAAGGCCCAAAACAGGTTTTTTGACTTGGGCATCAGAAAGAGTACCCAGAATACTGAGGCATTGGCCTGAGAAGTGGGCCAAAGTAGCCCTAGACTAAAGGATGGCCGATCCTGGCTAACAAAGCTTAAAAGCAAGTTTTGAAAGGATCCAACTGTTTCTTAGTAATTGTATCCCAGAATAAAGCTCAAGAATATTTTAAGGAATATAAAAATAGCACCCAATGAGATAACATTTCCAATGTCTGGTGTCCAATCAAAAATTACGAGACATAATGAGAAAAATCAAGAAACAGACCAAGAAATGACAGATGATAGAATTAGTAGAAAAGGACATTCAAACATTTATAACCATATTTCATATATTCAAATGGTAGCAGAAAGCCTGAGCATATTAAAGAGAGATACGGAAGATATAAAGAAAGTCTCAAAACTTCTAGAGATTAAAAAAATGAGATAAAAAATATGCACACTGGGATTAAGAGCAGAGTAGACACTGCAGAAGAAAACATTACTGACCCTAGAGACAGTAATAGAAACTGTCCAAAGTGAAAAACAAAAAAGACAAAAACCCACTGTGTTGGTTATCAGTTTATTGCCTCAGCTCCAAATTCACCTTTTGGCCTCAGTGATAATGGAGCTGTTCCTTGTAAATATCTCTCCTTTGCCAGCCAGCAAGATGATAAGCCTTGTCTGCAGGGTGTAGACAGACTTTGCAGGAGGAAGAGGCTTTCCTTCCAGTTCTAGTGTAGCTTTCTCTCCAAGTCCCTGGAGGTTCCGCCATGCTTTTTTCTCCACTGCTTTGGCCCCTGAGGTTTCTCCAGTGCCAGGTTCCTGCAAGGCACAGCTTTCTCCAGCATTTGGCTACTGCAGCTCTTGCTCTGTTGAGTTCTCAACTCAGCCAGAAACAGTGCAAACCAGAAAACAGTATAGCAACATCTTGAAAGTAAGAAAGAAAAAACTCAATCTAGAATTTGCTGGGTATAGAATTCCCGGAAAAATGTCTTTCAAAAAACAGTAATCCAATAAATACTACATAAGACCCATGTTCAAATGTCCCCAATTTCCAAATAATGTTCTTTATAGCTGATTTTTTTCCTTCCAGTCTAGGATCGAATCAAAGATCTTGCATTAAGTTGTTACATCTCTTTAATCTTCTTCAATTTAAAACAGTCCCCAGTCTTTTGTATTTTTTATGACGTTGACATTTTTGAAGAGGTCAGGCTAGTTTTTTTGCAGAATACCTCTCAGTTTGGATTTTGTCTGACTGTTCCTTCATTATTAGCTTCAGGTAAACATTTTTGGCAAGAATACATCAGTGATGTGTCCTTCTCAGTGCATCACATTGGGGGCGCATGATGTCCATTTGTCCTATTATTGGTGATGTTAAGTTTAATCACTTTTTTGAGGCAGCATTTGCAAAATTTCTCTATCTTTAAGGTACCTTTTTCCCTTTGTAAATACCTTTTGTAGGGTAATAAATTTGAGACTGTGGGGCTGTCTTCTTGCTCAATAGGCTTTCATCCATGGTATTAGTATCCATTGATGATTCTTGCCTGAATACTCATTTTTTTTTAAATAATTTTATTTATTTTTCCCCCAAAGCCCCAGTAGATATTCGTATGTCATAGCTGCACATCCTTCTAGTTGCTGTATGTGGGATGTGGCCTCAGCATGGCCGGAGAAGTGGTGCGTCGGTGCGCGCCCGGGATCTGAACCCGGGCCACCAGCAGCGGAGTGCACGCACTTAACCGCTAAGCCATGGGGCTGGCCCTGAATACTCATTTTTAAAGAAACATTTGGAACAACAATGCTTCCTGTTCAAATTTAAAAATAATTACTTTATAATCATTTTCCTTGGTTATTTAGTTGATGAGAGCCATTTGGGATCTTTTTCCTTTCGACACAGACATCTGAGGGAATTGATGCCACATGGAAGCTCAGCTTGCTTGCCTTCCTAGGGAAGCTGTAGCCACAGTACTGGTTTTGGAAGCCCAGTATAGAATAACATTATTAAGGCATCAACATTTAACATGCTATTGATAACCAGTGTGCCAGACTCCAAATAACATGCCAGAAATAATCCATGCCTGTAAGAGATTTTGTAATGGATAAAAGATGGCAAAAACCATGGAGAATGTTTTTTTGTCTCTGTCTCCAGAATCCTATAATTAAAGCCTTCATTTCTCTTCAAAAAAATTCCCCTAATTTTTCCATGTGTCTCTAAGGATCATACTGTGTGTGTGTGTGTGTGTGTGTGTGTGTGTGTGTGTGTGTGTGTGTGTGTGTGTGTGTGTGTGTGTGTGTGTGTGTGTGGAGGATCAGCCCTGAGCTAACATCCATGCTAATCCTCCTCTTTTTGCTGAGGACGACCAGCTCTGAGCTAACATCTATTGCCTATCCTCCTCCTTTTTTTTTCCCCCCCAAAGCCCCAGTAGATAGTTGTATGTTATAGTTGCACATCCTTCTAGTTGCTGTATGTGGGACGCAGCCTCAGCATGGCCGGACAAGCGGTGCATCGGTGCGCGCCCGGGATCCAAACCCGGGCCGCCAGTAGCGGAGCGCGCGCACTTAACCACTAAGCCACGGGGCCAGCCCAGGATCATACTTCTAAAACCTTCTTTTCTTCTTGAGAAAAGAAAAAGCAGTTCCCTCTGTCACCAATGCCAAATTGATACTCTTAATGGGCTTGAAGATGGCAACTCATTTCAGAGTGAGGGGGATGATTTTAACGAGGGCAGTGGAAAGGGCAGTAGTAATAAGAAATGGGCATGTGATGACTTCAGGGTATAAATAAGCTCAGACCGGCTTCTTCCTTGCTGAGCTTTGAGGCCTACATCCGTGAGTCCCTCGGTGGAAGACCCTTCCCTCTATGCTGTAACAGAGTGTCCATCTCGCCCCCGCCTGGACTGACCCTGGACCGGGAGAGGTGCTTTCAGCTTTGGCAGCACCTTTCCCGCCTCCTTGCAGGAAACCAGCTCTCATGCAACTCAGCATCATTCCCAGACCACAGGAAGGCACCCTGGAAAATGGTCTTTTTGTTCGAAAGCTTCCAGCTGTGTCTGTCTGTCCTCCTGCCCAGTTCACCAGGAACTTGTTTTGCTCACATTTCAACAGTGCATGAGGGAGCATTTGTCTTGATAGCCTCTGAGATCATCCTGGCACCGGATTCCCCAATGTGATTTCCCTGGAGACTAAAAGAGAAGGATTAGGACAGGGGTTGAGAAATTGACTGAAGGGCGAGGGGCCTACAGGTTCTCTTTAGTAAAGAGCAGATGGTCACTACATAAAATGCAGAACTCCGTGCAAAACCTTTGTGCTTCCAGGATCCCTCCCATGGACAAGGCTCAGAATGGCTCGCTCTTGTACCAAGTTTCCCTGAAGAGCTGCTGAGGGGCTGCTTGGGAGTCAGGTGGCTCTGAGAAACAGGTGGAAGGCAGGGCCTGACCTGGGAGCAGTTCTAATGGTGAGGGAGAATAGCAGGAAAGGGCAGATGCTGCCGAGGCCCACTCACTTGATGTGCTGGAGGCCGTGGTTTCCAGACAGTGCAGTGGCAACGCATATTGCCCCGTCCATCCCCAAGGAATTCTCTTGAAGACTAGGCAGAGAAAAGAGAGAGATACTACAGTGAGCCATCTGGGACAGAAGAACACGCCCCAGAAAGCAGCACTGCATCATCTTGGGGGGCAGTTCTGGGGCTGATTTGTCCATAGGCGCAATAGCAACAGCGAGGTGGCATTTAACCCTAAGACCTTTGTCTACAAGTAGGCAGGTTGTCCCACCCAAGTGCCATAGAGGAGGTAAGAGCAAAAATGCAGATGTTAAATGACTTACCTCTGGCTCAAGCTAGGCAGAATGAACAAACCCATCCTCAATTTGGACTATAGTAAACAGAACAGTCTGAGCTATTTGTATTCGGAAGGAAGACGCTACAGAGGAGATCAAGAGCATCTTATCCCATGGGGGAGGTTCCAGAAGAGAAGTCTGCTCCTCTGGGGTGCAGGTAAGTCTCTACAACCACTCACTTGAGTCTTCGGAGACTTGAGTTGACCTTCAGAGAATTCGCCAGGGCTTTGGCTCCAGCCACTCCAATGGCATTTCCTCTTAAGCTGTCAGGAAAGACAGGAAACCTAAGGCATAGTGACAGCTAAGAGGCAAAAATGATACCTCTTCAGATGAGGGCTACTGCATAGAGACGGCGTAGACTCAGCGCCCACAGGGGTTGGGTTGCTTCTTCCTCACTCCCGGGCTCAGAATGGAGATGAGCCCTGGGGAGCAGGACACACAAGGAGGGGTGAGGCCAGCCCAACCTGGTGGTTTTGCTGGAGCCCTCATCCTGCTTTTCCATTCCAAAGAAAGGAGAGCTGGGCTGAGACATGAGAGGCAACACTCCATCCAGCAGTCCCCATGTGCTCAGCTTCACGGAACCGTAAGAGCAGGGATAACCTGGACGCACCTGAGGGCCCCACAGAACTTGAGGCCTGCCCCCCGGGAGTTTGAATCTTCTCATAGACCAAGATCAGTGGCCACTGGCCATCCCAGGGGCCCGTATACAGGGCCGTGGGACATGTTCAGCCTGGGCAAGGCCAAGGAAAGCAGATAGGTAAGGAGAGGAGGACCAACAATAGTGACCCCAGGAAGGTATGAAGTGGGAACAGAGGAAGCTGGGGCAAGCTTGATCTAAGTGAAGACATTAACTGATTTGTGAGTTTCCATGTAAATTGACTTTTTTCCTTCCATATCTATTTTGAATCAACAGCTTGGTTTCTTTGGGCAAGAGACTGTAGCCAGACACTGGAATACTTACTCAAGAATCTCCAAGGTTCTGTTCACAGCCAGGGCCTCCCCTAGCGCCTGGGCCCCCGGGGCACCAATGGAGGCTACCTGGAGACTGTAAGAGGAAATGCAGTCAACGCGACAGGCAGGGCCTCTCCAGCCCTCACGCCTGCCCCAGCCCGCCTTCTGTCCATATTCAACCTTCATTTTCACTACCTCTAGATTTAGGACTGGAAGTGGTGAAATAGCACTGAAAATTGTTGGCCTGTGGTCTGTCCAAAGAACACCGTGTCTCCTATCTACACTGTCGGATGCCTAGGACAGAGATCTGGATGCTATGGATATAGGAAGTAGAGGTAGTCTCCTGGAGCGTTTGGGGGAGAACACTCCCTGAACCACTAATTCTAGATGTTTGATGTCCCGATTGCTAATATTAGGAAAATCAAACACACCGTCCTTGACGGGGAAACAAAACTAGTGCTTAGCATGAAAGGACGGTGAGGGGGCCGGCTTCCCAGCTGCCGTGCACTTCGGGACTTACTAGAGAGCAGTGAGGGCCGTGTTTGCCTTCAGCGCACTGGCCACCGCAGAGGAGCCTTCGTCCCCGATGGCGTTCTCCTGTAAACTGAACACAGAGCGTGACCCGTGGGGCACAGGGCCAGCACTCTAGCATGATGTGCTGAGCTTGGACCTTCTCGATTTAATTCAGACCACACACACCATAGACTATACTCCCAGGGTCGCCCTGGGGATAACTGCCCCTCCTGTGCAGCCACTACAGCACTATGGCCTCCTAATTAACATGCAGAGGGGTCTGGGGTCTTCACGAGTCTAGACCATCAGAGGCAAACAAGAAAAGGGACACGTGGAAATACCGTCAACAAGGGCTCGGACAAAAGGGTGTGCTTTTCAAAGTCAACCAGAAAAATTTTTTTTTTTTTAATTTTTGTCTTATTTTTTTTCCCCCAAAGCCCCAGTAGATAGTTGTATGTCACAGTTGCACAGCCTTCTAGTTGCTATATGTGGGACACGGCCTCATTGTGACCGGAGAAGCGGTGCGTCGGTGCCCGCCCGGGATCCGAACCCGGGCCGCCAGCAGCGGAGCGCACACACTTAACCGCTAAGCCATGGGGCTGGCCCCAACCAGAAAATTAAATTGAAATCCTCCATTCCCGGGCCATTCTTGCTAGTCAGCGTTTACATTTTTTTTTCCTCCCACATTGGAGGGAAGTAGCAGGCCCTGGAGCAGTAAATGGTTAAGAGTTTAGTTCAAGTGGACATTGGCATGTTTAAAGGAGCAGTTTGCACTGATAATTTTAGCAAACATTTGAGTGTATTGTGTAATAGAAAGCCCAATTCTGCCCTCTTAGAACTCAGCTGGGGAGACATGATTAAATGAGCAGTCATCATAGGCCAACTGCAGGCTGCAGGGAGGACCCCTCAGGGTCTCCCACCCCAGTGTGGTCTGGAGGCTGCCCAGAAGAAACAGGTCTAAACCAAAACCTAAAGGATGAGAGATGGGGGAGAGGGTGTGGCACACGTAAGGGACCCAAAGAAATCTAGTTGAGTTGCTGGAGTGCGAAACGAGGCTGAGGAGGTGCAAAGGAAGCAGATCTTTGGGGGCCTTGGAAGCCACGGTAAGGGTTGGATTTCACTCTGCAGGCACTGGGCAGCCGCTTAAACATCTTACCCAGAGCAGGGACAGATTGATGTTTTGGAATAATCTTTGTCCAGCAGTGTGAGAGGGACAGGATGTGGAGGATGCTACAGTGATGCAGGTGAGTGATGCTGGTGGCCTGGATAGTGGATATGTGGGCAGAGGGGAATTGCTGGGATGTTGGCAGGACTTGGAAATGAATTGCAAGTGGGAAGGGTGAGTAAAGGCAATGTTTCTAGTTTGCACAATTGGTGGCTGGTTCCATTCATGAAATGGGGAACCAAGAAGCTGGCTTGTGGGAGAGAGAATTTGAGCATTTGGAAGTACCTGTGAGACAGCCAAGGGGAGGTGCAGAGTGGGCAGTGGATACATGGGTCTGGAGCTCAGGAGAAAGGTTGGAATATAGATGTGGGGGCCACCAGGACTTGGAAGGTAATTGGAGCCCTGGGAGAAGAAGAGAACTTCCAGAAAAAAGATATCGTTCGAGGGAAGATGGCTTAGGACACAGCCCTGAGGAAAACCAGTATTTCAGAGTCCAACAGAAAAAAAGAATGAGGAGGACCAGCCAGAGATGGGAAATCCTGGAAGCTGAGGGAGAAGAACTGGTCAGTGTCTAAAGCAGATGAGGCTTAAAGGTTAAACATAGAGTTACCATCGACCCAGCAATTCTGCTCCCAGGTATAGACCCAAGAGAAATGAAAACACGTCCACACAAAATCTTGCTCATGAATGTTCACACAGCATTATTCATAATAGCTAAAAAGTGGAAGCAACTGAAATGTCCATCAACTAATGAATGGATAAACAAAACGTGGTCTATCCATACAGTGGAATGTTATTCAGCCACAAAAAGGGATGAAGTAATGATCCATGCTATAACATGGATAAACCTTGAAAACATTATACTAAGTGAAAGATGTCGGTCACAGAGACCACATATTGTATGATTCCATTTATGTGAAATGACCAGAATAGATAAATCCGTAGAGACAGTAGATTAGTGGTTGCCAGCGGCTGGTGGCAGGGGAGAATGGGGAGTGACTGCTAATGGGTATGGGGTTTCTTTTGGGGTGATGGAAGTGTTTTAAAATTTATTGTGGTGATGGTTGCACAACTCTGTGAATATACTAGAAACCAGTGAATAGTACTCTTTAAATGGGTGGATTTTATGGTATGTGGATTATATATATCAATAAAGTTGTTATTTAAAAAAAAAAAAAAAAGCAGATGAGGACAGAAACGTGCCCCCCTGGCCGTAGGGCAGAGGAGGCTGTGTGCTGGAGGCCATCTGCACCAACCCTGCGCCTGGTGGGCACTGGGGTTTCAGATTCCTCTGCTCCCCTGCCTTCCCCATGGCCTCTGTGAAGGCCCCACTTACTCAAGGCTGGTCAGGCTCCTGTTGAGCTGTAGTGCTTGTCCCAGGGCCTTGGCAGCACCAGCTTGGATGAAGTTCCACTGCAGGCTGGACAGACACAGACATGTGACCCCGTGGCCCAGGGTAGAGCCCAGGAGGTCCTGGAGGCTCCAGAAAGGGGAGGCTTCTCCCAGGAGAGTCTGACGGTAGTGACAGAGTCCCTGCAGGACAGGGTCCTGGCCGCTGATGGGCAGAACTCCTGCAGCCCTCCTCAGGCTTAGTCCCCAAGGGGTCAGTGAGCACTCCCCAGTTTGGGGTGGGAACAGGGAAAGGCTCAAAAGGCCCCTGCATGAAGCATGTGACACACAGAAGCACAGCCATGGGCACCCACCTCCCACCATTGGCCTCTCAGTGGATCAACTTCAGGAAGCAGAGCAGGGGGCAGGGCACAGCCTACTTGAGGCCCCTGAGACCATGTGGGGGGGCCCCAAAAGCTGGACTTGGTCTGCTGCATCAGCTGGTTTGAGTGTGGCCCTGCAGCTCTGTGGAGGAGCGGGGTAGGTGGAGGTGCCATAGACTCACTGAAGGGACGTGAGGGCACGATTTTCTCTCACTGCCACCGCGATGGCCTGGGCACCTTCGTCGTGCAGGAGGTTGGCTGTCAGGCTGGGAGGAGGGGAACAGGGGCAAGTGAGTGGGAGCCGGCTATGAAGCTCCCTGTCTTCACTCACCAAGGAATCCAGGTTGCTCCCCTGCCTGCATTGAGGACTGCGTCGAGTCTGCTAGGATTGCCTAGCTCATGTTTGTCGGGTACGTTTCTGTGCCAGGCACTGTGCCAAGCACCTGCCCTAGAGTATTGTACCGAATCCTGACAACTCCATGAGAGGGTGGGCCCAGGCTTGGCTCACTGAGGTTCTGTGACAGGTCACCTGCCAGGAGATGGTGGAGCTGCGAGGGACTCACTCATGACCCCTGTACTGTGCTGCCGCTCACAACCTGGCCGCTCCTACATGGTCCATCATCACAGGGGTGGGGGGCAGGCAGTGTCCCCACTAACCTCATCTCGTGTAATTTATGACATGGAGTGGGGGGCTCGTGCCAGGGCTGCCACCAGATGTCAGGTCTCCTGGCTACCCCCTCCCAAGCAGATCCTTCACCAGCCTTGTACATTGGCAAGGGCAACAAGGGTCTGGCCCATCAGTCCCCCTGCTCTGGGTGGGCAAGGCCTGGGGCATAAAGGAGCCTTAGGAAGCACAGCCTGCCCCCCACTCACGTACTCCAGGTTCTTCAGGGTGCTGTTGGTGCAGAGAGCATGCGCCACGTCCTGAGCTCCCTCTGGGCTGATGGAGTTTTCTCGAAGGCTGAGGAAAGAGAAGACCCTGAGCTGCTGACTAGACAGATGAGGCCTCCAGGGGAGATAAGCCCAGGCGTTCAGGCTTTTTGAACCTAAGAAACCTCAGGTGGGACCTGGGCCTCCTGAGTGATCTGGGGTGACGTGTGAAGAGCCTGCTCCAGGAAGCTCAGAGCTCTGACGGCTAGTCAGCCAGGTGTCCTCACTTTAGGACTGTCAACAGTAGGACGGTCCAGGAGGAAGGGGATAAGACGACGGGACCTCATGAGTGTGAGGGGCAGGGGCAGGCGAGATGCTTGGGTGCCTAAAGCGCTTGTGTATAGGAAAGAAGCAGCAGAGCTTGCCAGCTGAGGGGCCCTGCCCTCCTGAGAGAGCAGCAAGAGTGCAGGAGGCTAGGTTCCAGAACCAAGCTGTCCAACCACAGATCTTCCCCATAACAGGCCCACAGGGGTAGGTGTGGGCTTCCCAGTCCCAAAGTCGCTTCAGACCCCCTGGTTAGAGAGGGAGGCTAGGACTTACTTGAGGCTGAGAAGGGTCTGGTTGACGCAGAGGGCCCCCATCAGCGCTGCCACTCCTGTGTCACTGATGGAATTGCTCTGCAGGCTGCAAACAGAGGATGGGACATAGTTAGTGTGGCTGGCCCAGGACCCAGAGGGAGCTACCAGTCCAGCCTGGGACTGCAGGCACTGGTTCAACAGGGAGTTGGGGGATCCTGAGAACAGGTGTCACCCCACACTGCTCTTCTCATCATTCCTCTTTGCTCTCCCATCCCCCACATTCCAGCCCCTGCTAAGTCAGGGAAGGTGAGTCTAGCACAACCAGCCCCAAAATCTAGACTCTGCCTTGATTGGATGGCTCCAAACAGCTTCTAAGGAGGGTGTGTTGTGTCTGCAGCCCCCAGAGTAAGTGGCGCTGCCAAGTCTCCCCAGTGGGGGCAGCGCTGAGCTCCCCCATCCCCCACCAAGACCACTGCAGCAGACTGCCTCTTCAGCCACCTGCACCAGCTTGTCAAGGGCATTCGGTGCTTGTCACTCTGAAAACTCCAGAACCAACACTGACCCCTACTGTCTAGGGGAATGGAGCTTGTGGGGTGGGATGGGACAAGTAGGGTGGGCATGGAGGGAGAGACACTAAGATCACAGTATGCCCAGGGTTGGTGGTTGGCTGGGTTCTGGCAGGGAAGTGGCCCTGACTGACAGCTCTCCTCCAGGACCCACCCACCTTCTGGATGGGAAACCCCAGGGGGAGTCACCCCTCTGCCCACAATCACCCCTGGGGGGTAATCAGGCAGACTCACTCCAGGCTCTCCAGGCTCTGGTTCACCTTCAGGGCCTCAGCCAGGGCCTTGGCGCCTCCATCACCAATGCTGTTACTGGAGAACCTGCAAGAGACGGGACATGGGTGAGCTGGCCTCCTGGAGCAGCCTGGTAGGGTGGGGCCCAGGGCCTCCTTTCCAGAGTAGGGCTGTCTGTGTTGTCTCAAGAGTGCCCAGTGCACAGTTTGTTTTGCCTGAGGCCAGTTGGGTAGTAGCTCTGCAAGTGACCACCAGCTGCCTGTAAGAGATGAAGATACCAATGTCCTTCTTGACTCCCTGGCAGGGGGCTGGGCCAATGCTTTAGTGAGAGGTATTTGTGGTACTTTATGTGAAGGTGGCCAGGAAATTCGGTTTTCTTCTGCCAGCTGGGAAGGCAGTAAATGTGAGCCTGAGACAGTTGGGGCTCACACCGTTCTGGGAATCTGGGTCTCCATTCTCCTGGTCCAGTGCTTTGGAGTCCAAAGCCAGCTATCCTGCACCCACACATTCATCCATCCATTCACTCATACACTCACCCACCCATCCATCCACTCCTCCATCTATCCATCCATCCACTCCTCCATCCACCCATCCATCCACTCATCCACCAATCCATCCATCCACTCACCCACTCATCTATCCATCCATCCACTCATCCACTCATCCATCTATCCATCTATCCCCATGCTCACAAATATTTATGATGGGTTGGGCATTGTGCCAGGCACTGAGGATACCAATTTGGCCCTTCTGCATTTCTCACATGAGCTCCTTCAGACTCCTGTTCTGCTTCAGGGCATCTGCCATCCGCTGGGCTCCCATGGGCCCGATGGTGTTCTTCTGCAGGCTGTAGGAAAGGAGAGGGGTCCTTCAGCAAAGCTGGCCACAGCCAGTCCAAGGCCAAGGACAGTCTTGTTCAAAGTGCAAGGTCAGAGACTACTCAAGTGCCCTCTCCATTTATCACAGTAGTGAGGAGCAGTCTCCAGGAAAGGTCTGTGGATTGTTGCCAGTGATGCCAATAGACACTATGTGGAGAGGAAGAGGCAAGAGCAGCTGGGCCCTCCCTTGTCAGAGGTTGGAAAGCGGTGACCAGTGGATGCTGATAATATCCAGCAACCTCCCAAGTGCAGAATTCCGCATACAAGCCCCACTGGCCCCTCACCCAACTAATCCTCTCAACACTCAACAGTCGACCTCCATCTAGACCAGCCAGCAGCCTGTCTCCCAGCCCTATAAACTTTCCTAGGACAGACCCTCCATTTAGGTTCCTTTTCTCTAAAAGCTACTTCCTCTTATACTAAATCTGGAGGAGGGAGATGTTATAGAATAACCCCTGTGCTCATCCTAGAAGGACAGTCAGGGCAGGACCTCTTCTGTGTGAGGCTAAATACAATCTAAACAAAAGGGACTTCTCCCTGGTTCTGGAAGGGAAAGAGACCTTCCCCTGTCTCTTTTCGTAGAGTATTTCCTTGAGAAAACTTGCAATTATAAATCCTTTCTCTGTCCCTTTGAGAAGTATGTACATCCTTTTGAAAGCTAAATAAACCTCTTGCCAGGTTACAGCCAAGAAATGTTTTTTGTAAGAGCCGTGGAGCCGTCTCTCTGAAATATACCCATCAAGGAGATAGCACTGGCTCCAAGTTTTAAGTTCCAGCTTGTCATAAAGATAGGGGAAGTTTTATTTTTCCCTTGGATAAAGGCAATTAGCAAACCCAGATCTACCAGGCGAATTTAGGATAAACTATGTGCGACAAATGATGCTGTCCAGTCCTCTTACTTGAGGACAAGTTGTTGTTTATCTTGAAAAAGCATTTGTAATGGGTCGTATCTGCTTGGCTATAGAAAAGGGTGAAATTATCTTCTATATTTGCAATCTCGTTGGTGGATTGCCTATGATGCACACTGCAGTCTAGTAGAATGCTTATTCAAATAATAAAGCTGTTTTCTTTCCTACATTTATGGCGAGGATTTTCTGGGTTGGCAGAGGGCTTTATTTTTAATTATTTCCCCAACACCTGTTCTCTGGAAAAGCAGTGGACATCAAGTTTTCCAGGGGCCATCCAGATGGATCAGAAAACCGCAGATCTTGCCCCATCCATCCCTTCTTACAGAAAACAGGCAGAGAGGCCCTTGGAGGAGGAAAGGAGAGAGGAGGCTTCTGCCAGCCAGCAAGTCCACTCACTGCAGCACGGAGAGGGTCCTGTTGGCAGCCAAGGCCTCAGCTATGGACCTGGCACCATCATCCTTGATCATGTTGCTCTGGAGGCTGTGGAGGCAAAGAAGAGGCGCATTACCAATGGAGCACACGAGGGCACCCAAGGGTGGCTTGAACATCCACCACAGTGTCACCAAGGCCTAAGCAAGAGCCAGCAGTTGACCTCGGTGAGAAGGGGCTCTGACCATTACATGCTCTCACTGCCCACCACACAGGAACTGGGGAGTAATCAGCCCTTCCTGCTGCTGCTCGGGCCTTAGGTTTCCCTCTAGGTCTCTAAGCACTTGCCTGCTGACGGGGGACAAGGTACCCGTGGTATCTGGATAACAATAACTAGGTCATCAATAGTCCTAAGTACAGCTAAAAGCCACAGCACCCAAGTGTTGTCAAGGATGTAGAGAAACTGTAACCCCCATCCACTGCTGGTGGGAATGTAAAAAGGTGTGGCCACTGGGGAAAACAGTCTGGCAGTTCCTTAGAAGGTTAAACATAGAGTTACCACGTGACTCAGCAAATTCCATTCGTAGATACCTACCCAAATTATTGAAAACAGGTACTCAAATAATTGTACACAAATGTGTACAGCATCAGTATTCACACAGCCAAAAGGTGAAAATAACCAAAATGTCCATCAACTGATGAATGGATAAATAAATTATGGTCTGTCCATATAATGGAATGTTATTCAGCCTTAAAACCAGCCCTGGTGATCCAGCGAGTGGTTAAGATTCAGCACTCTCACTGCTGCGGCCTGGCTTCATTTCACTATCAGGGAACCATATGGCCCGTCTGTCAGTTGTCATACTGTGGTGGCTGCATGTTGCTGCGATGCTGAAAGCTATGCCACCGATATTTCAAATACCATCAGGGTCACCCCTGGTGGACAGGTTTCAATGGAGCTTCCAGACTAAGACAGACTAGGAAGAAGGACCTGACCACCCATTTCCAAGAAACCTGGCCATGAAAACTCTATGAATAGCAGTGGAGCATCATCTGATATAGTGCCAGAAGGTGAGAGAATGGTGCAAAAAGACTGGACAGGGTTCTGCTCTGCTGTACGCAGGGTCGTTAGAGTTGGAATCTACTTGATGGCACTAACAAAAAAGTCACCCATAAAATGGAATGAAGCACTGATACATGCTACAATGTGGATGAACCTTGAAAACATTATGCTCAGAGAAAGAAGACAGACACAAAAGGCCTTATTGTATGATTCCATTTGTATGAAATATCCAGAATAGGCATATCCATATAGACAGAAAGCAGATTGCTGTTTGCGGGGGCCTGGGAGAAGGGGAGAATGGGAAGTGACTGCTCATGGTGACAAGGTCTCCTTTTAGGGTGATGAACATATTTTGAAACTAGATAGAGGTGATGGTTGCCCAATTGTGAATCTACTAAGTGCCATTGAAGGTATACTTTAAAATGGTGCATTTTATGTGAATTTCACCTCAATAAAAGTAAATAAATGAAAAAACCAAAACAAAATGATGGTACACACTCAACTAAGAATGGATACAAGCACAGGCCCCTAAAAGGAGCACACCAAACCATAGGAACCGTCTGGAAGATGGGCTTTTTAATGTGTTGGAAAACACCTCAGGGGAACATTCTAACACCATGGCCTTGGGGATTTCTCAATGGAGGAAAGAGGTTTTCCTCATAGATTATTTTGCCCTTCCACCTCTACATGCCCCCCCCGCCCCCCACCCC